TGTGTGTGATAATCGACTAAAAAGCGTTTTTTAAATAAATACAAAGTACTTTTTTTCAAGTTAATTAATTAGAAAAGGTAAATGTAATGCATTTTCTTTTAGTGTTTTCCTTATATTTTGTGATGCAATATTGCATTGTTCCAATCTACGGTTAAAAATAATTTAATTTTCCTTTTTCAAAATAGCGCCAATTTCTGGGTGTGAGACACAGCATATCACCAGTTGTGAGACGGTGTCAACACCCATCTGGACAGCATAAAAAATACGACTTTGCAGGCATACTATTTAAATGTTGTTTTCATTTTTTTTCTAGTATTTTTGGGCATGTCAAGTGGAAAAAAGTCAATTGATTCAGCAGAAATCAATTTTAATGCTCTTGTTGAAGCTATTAAATTGTGTTTATTTGATAGTCATATTTTAGCGAATAAATATTATTATTTAGTATACAATAATATATATTATTAATATATTTAATTATTTATAGTAAACATAACGTTTTAGGTCAAACTTATTACATTTTAGCAATTTTTAATGAGTGTCTCACAACTGGAGACATTTTTTTTTTTTGAAAAAAGCGATGTGCTCGGAAAATGTATCGTAAAATTTTTTGAGTTCATCGAAACACTATACTTTCTTTTAATAAAAGTTGCGTATTTCTGTTACCTTTCGAACGGTGTATTTTATTTACAATTTCTTTTACCGGTTTACAATTTACGGGTCAAAAATAAAACCCGTCTCACAACTGGAGACTCTCCCCTACATATTATATTATTATGTTATAATTATTTTTATTTTATAATAATTAATTCAAAATTATAATGACAAATAGAAATCATCAGAATTTTTTCACATCTTTTCATTAAAAGACTAAAATTTTCTTAAATATTATGTTTTGTCAAATTAAAATTATTTTTGTTCTTTACTTCTAAAGAAAATTAGAAAATTGTTTAACAACTGTGATTAAGAAATAGAAAATTTTATTATTTAAAAATAATAAATAAATATATATATATATATATATATATATATATATATATATTTATTTATTTATTTATTTATTTTTTATTTTTTATTTTTTTTTTTATTTATTTTTTATTTTTTTTTATTTTTATTTATTTTTTTTTTATTTTGCATTATTTTTCTTTATGAATCACAATTTCTTTAAACAAAATTATTATTTTGTTTTAGAAAAAGAAGAAGAAAATTTGCACAAATCTTATTTTTAATCTTTTTTTTTTTTGGAACAGGATTTACCACAGGAATTTTTTATGAAAATAATAATTAAATTCCTTAAAAAAATTTTATTATTTATGAAAATAATTAAATGTTTGCACAAAATTTTATTAAACTTTTTTTTAAATAATTGAATTCTTTTTGGGAAATTTTATTAAAATAGTAGATATTGAAAATCGTTAAAATTAGAAAATTTGTTAAAAATTATTGAAATTAGGACAAGAATTTTTTTTTCAAATAATTGAATTTCTGCAATTATTTGAAAATTCTATTATTTTTGTTCAAAAATTTTTTCGAAAAAATGAATTTTGTTTTTAAATCAAATTTTTTATTTTATAAATATATTTTAATAAAATTTTTTAAAAATAATTGCACTTTTCGCGGAATTCATTTAAAATTGTATAAAAAAATAATTGAAATTCTACATTGTATTTTATTATTTATAGAAATAATTGAATTTTTGCATCGATTTAATTGAAAAAGAAATTAAATTCTTCAGAAAAATGTTATTATTTAGAAAATTAATTGAATTCTTGCCCAAAAAATTGATTAAAATCTTTTAAATCATTCAAATTTTGCAAACAATTTTATTATTTTCGAAAATAATTTAATTTCTCAGAAGAATTTTATTATTTTTATGAAATTAATTGAATTCTTTCCAAAAAAATGATTAAGATCTTTGAAATAATCGAATTCTTTACAAGAATTTTCTTACTTATGAAAGTAATTGAATTTTTATGAAGAATTTTGTTAAAATTTTAAAAAATAATTGAATTCCCCTGAAAAATTTAATTATCTATAAAAAAAAATTGAAATCCCCTAAAAAAATTTACTTATTTATAAAAATAATTTAATTCTTTACAAGGATTCTATTATTTTTTGAAATACTTGAATTGGTCAGAAGAATTTCATTATTTATGACAATAATTGAATTTTTGTAAAGAATTTTGTTAAAATTTTAAAAAATAATTGAATTACCTAAAAAAATCTAATTATTTATAAAAAAAATTGCATTCTTTACAAGAATTTTGATTAAAATCTTTGAAATAATTAAAATTTTGTAAAGAATTTTATTATTTTTGGAAATAATTGAATTCCTAGCAAAAATTTTAATATTTTTTATATTAATTGAATGTTTGAGAAGAATTTTTTAACATTTTTTTTTTAATAATAGAATTGTTTTGTGAAATTTTAGTAAAATAGTAATTAAAATTTGAATTCTTTTTGGGAAATTTTATTAAAATAGTAGATATTGAAAATCATTGAAATTGGAAAATTGCATTTTATTTTTGAAAATTATTAAAATTAGGACAATGATTTTTTTGACGTTTATGAAAATAATTGAACTTTGGAGAAGAATTTTGTTATTTATAAAGTCAATTGAGATTTTTACGAGAATTTTTTTAAATTTGGAACATAGTTGAATTTTTTAAGAAGAATTTTATTTTTTTTAATTAGGTATTATTTGTAATTATTTCAAAATCGATTTTTTTTAGTGTTTTCAACATGAATTTAAATTCGAAAATTTTTAAATTCTATTATTTTTAAAATTACTAATTATATTTAAAAAAAAAAGGTAGTAAGAAGTTAGCCGCGCGAATTGTTTGCTAGTATAAAATTTAATCTAATGATTAACATTAACAAAAAACAACATAAAACAATTAACAGAATCAATCTGTCGAAATAAATAAAAATAAACAAATTTTACCTTTAAGCAAGTTTATATTCATGTTTAAGAAAAGATCCCATTTTTACAAAAATAATAAGGAATTTCTAATATTTCGAACCACGATTCCAATAAATTCTTTTTAAACTCAGTTTGTAAACTTCTTGAAACAACTTCAGAATTCTTTAGAAATAAAAGTATTTACTGGACTTTGAATCAACAACGTCACATTTTATAACTTTTTACTCTCTATTGTGCTTTAAATCTAAGGAATCTCATTGTGAAGTTCAAAAAAGGCATTTTTATAATATATTGTTAAAAATCCAATAGTGAAAAAATCCAATATTGATTTATTATCTAGTGAAAGTATATAAAAATTTAATAGTAATGTTTATGAGCTAATTGTCCTTTACTCTTATGTTAAATAGAAAAAAGATTTTTTTGCCTACTTTGATAAAAGCTCACAACAGAGTCAAATATTTATTTATAAATAAGCACATGGGTTTGCATAAAGAAAGTTTTTATGAGAAAAAGAACCTCATGATTAAAAGAAAAATATATACAAAATGCAAGAGACATGTGTGACTGCTGCAGTTAGTCAAAAATTATTCAAATAACTTGTTTGCTCTCGTATAAAGCTAGATTTACCCAACGAGATCCGAGACACATAGTAATGCTGGACATCTACACTAATGAAACTGAGGTGTTAAATTTTCACTGTTAAAAATTTGTCAGATAAATCAAATTTTTTTCACTTTATAATTTCTTTCACACTGCTGAACTTATAATGAAAATCATTATCTGGACAAATCTACGAAATTTCTACTAAAATTTCTACCTTTTTAAAATTTTGTGATTTTTGGTCCTTTTTTAAAGAAATGTATTTCAAAAGTATTTTTTTTTCAAAAATCCATGCATGTTTGTTCCTATCGCTCTCCTCATCAAAATAAGACCGTTTAGAACTTGATCTATTGAGATTTAAGAAAGTTATGATTTTTTAAATTATACCTATAAATTTTTTTTATTGACCTTTTCTGTGGACTTAAAGGATTCTTTTTGATTTTATAAAAAAGAGAAAAAAATTTTAAAGTAGGTGAGAGGTATATGTCTCACTGTACGTTAAAGGGTTAAACCATTTTTAAAAATTTTATAATTAAATTAACTGAACAGCTCGGTTATGTTATAAGGAAAATAAACTTTTTCATAACTTTTTTTTGGTTTATATTGAAATTCGATCCTTGGAAGGTATAATAAATAACATAAAGAATATTTTTTATGTCACTCTTTAAAATTTATTGTTAATTTATTGTTAAAGGTTAAATTCGAATTATCAAATTAAAATAGTTTAGAAAATAAAATATGAAAAAGTAGAAAAAAATATAAAGCGAAAAATTTAATGTCTCAGTAAAAGATAAAACTCTTTTTTTAAATTACTGCACATTTCAAGAAAATTGATAAAAAAAAATTCACAGTTCTGGCAAAAAATGCTTTCATATCTTAACCTTTTTCATTAGAACGTGAAGTCTTCTTAATTTTTATTAATTTCTTTTTAAGTTTAAAGAAAGTTTTAAAAAAGTCAACAATTCCGGACAAGTTGAAACTTTATTTTTTTTAAATTTTATGATATAAAATTGACAACAAAAAACAAAATACTATGAAAATAAATTTTTTTCTTTTATTTGAGAACTTTTTTAGAAAATTTCATAGAGTTGTCCTGTTTTACGATCTTTTTATTACGAGGCTTTGAACCATTTTTACGGCCTGCCTTTTGCAAACTGTAATTAACGCAACTTTTATCAAAACTAGTTTATTTCTGTCATCAATTATATTGTAAACAAGTTAATCACAACTTATTCGATAGCAAAATGTCAGCAATCACTGATTTATATTGTTTTTTTATTAATCATTTAGCTAAAAGTAAGTAAATATTAATTGAGTTTATTGTTAAATTATGTCAATATAGCTAAAAAAATTTTTTCACTAATTCTCTTATTCCTTAGTCTTTGCCTTCTTTAAAAATCTTCAAGAAAAATTAATTCTCAACTTGAGGAAAATATTTACTTTTATTTAAACCAACAAAATACACAATACTTATTTTATATTGAAATTAGACTTTTGAATAAAATCTGGTCGTAGTATTAAAAATACAAAAAAACTTTAATAGATATCTGAGGAATTATGTGAAGAAGGAGTGTGTAAAATTTTAAAACGATTGGTTCAGTAGTTTTTTAGTTATTATGTTACACACGGGCTTAAAAAATAACAACTTTTAGGAAAACGTTTTAAAGTTTTGCACACTAAAAATTCAAAACTTAAAATATGCGCGGCTTTTTATCGAACAGACAACGGACCCTCAAATACTCATAACTTTGTCGATTGAGAGTCCCGATCGGAGAACTGGCTATAATTTTTTTCATCTAAAAATCATTGTCAAATAAATAAAAAATTAAAAGGTTTTAAATCATAATTTTTAGAGGAACTTTTTCGTAATCTTTAAACAAATACGAAATGCTTACAAAAAATTAAAATTTGAAATCCTTTTTTATTTTAGAAGTGAAGAATTTAGTGCCTTAAAAATTATATCCATTTCTTGGATCGAGACCTTCAATTTTTGCTTCGATCGAATAACTATCTTTACCCTCCCTTAAAGAATTAAATAATAAATAAATATAATATAAATAGTAAATAAATTTATTAAATAAAGAATTTATTTGAGAAAAGAATAAACAGTAACAGAATATATCTTATTATTATTTAATGTCGTTGTACATGGTAAAATGAATTGTTTCGCTCATTATTCAGATATTGGTCACGCATAAGACTTAAGATCGAAAGATCCCGATTTAACGGTGAACTGTTTCTTTTCATGTAATTTTTACATCTAGGATAAAATACAGTTTCTCTTAATACTAAATAGAATTTGTCTAACGAATCAGCACCATTTGAGATAATTTTTGGTATTTTCAAGTATGAAAGTTTTAATTGTTTTAAAATTTTAGCTTTATTATACATATCGTGGTAATCAAACTGTAACATTTCGTTCATCCATATTAATGTCTTTGACAAATATTCAGTAATAACATTTTTCTCATTTTGAGCAATTTTTTCCATATTCTTGACATAATACGAATTCGCATCTATATGTTTAAACATACCTTGAATACAATTTATTTTTAAAAAGCAAAAGAACTTAATAAACTGAAAAATATTCGAATTCATACAAAAATATTTTAAATTATCATTGTCTGTGATATTTATTGATGTTATGTTATTGTAAGCAGATTGTATGAAAAGTAAAATATGGAAAAAATCTCCTATTTCGGTTATTCTGAAATCAATGTTAATTCCTTTATTTATTTCCAGCAGCGATGAGCATGGAAAATCATTAAGTAAATAATCTGTACGATAAGAAATTTGTTGTGTTTTTAGAAAATCATAAAATTTCTGTGCATATTCTATCGAATTATTATCTTTATAATGTGAATAATCATTATTAACTGATTTTGGTAATATTTGTAAAAACATAGCAGATACTGACAAATATTTTGAATAGCGTCTGTGAAATTTTTTCTGCAGATTAATTAAATATATGGGATTTAAAAAACGGTTTTCACAGTTTGTTGTAAATAAGTGACAGTTGTCTGGAAGAGCAGGAAGGAGTAAGTCATTATAACTCATGGTTTCGAATTTATCGGGTAAAAAAGAATTAGAATAGTTTGCGAAATAAAATACAACTTTTGAATAATCACTAATCATCTTGATCTCGAAATAGGTAATCAATACGTCGATTTGTCTATTTTCAGTCAATGGATAAACATAATAATAAGTATCATTGGATTGAAGCAGATAAAAATGTTTCATTATTTCATCATACACAAACTGTTTTGTATAATGAAGATCTTCTCTTTTTATTCTTGGTACTACTCTTCTGCCTGCTATATGTGCAACTTTTCGTACCCCTGACGGCATACTATCAGCTACGATTATTACCAATCTCTTGAATTCCATCTCAGGAAGTAAGGCATCAATTGTGTCCAAATAATTGTAAAATAAACAGGGTGAACTTAACACAGACTTGCTACTACTCTTTTCTATCTGTAGACACAAATGTTTAGAATTAATAACTGTTATTTATTAGTACTCTCAACATATTTTTAATGTTTTTCCACTATATACTATATACTTTGTACGACTTTAATTATTTTTTCATATATATAGCGTAAACCAGACAGTAGTCGGACACTTTTTCAATTTTAAATATCTGTGAAACCGTATGAGATAAAGACAATTTGTTTGTTGCTAATCATGTCTAAGGTTATAAAGAAATTTAAGCTTCTGTAATTTAAAAAAATTCTTTTCTACGGTTTTTGAGGGTGGCTGAGTACTATCGTATTTATTTATTTATTTATTTTTTTATCAAAATACATCCCCGCGGTCCTACAAAGAACCATAAATGGGTTACAAGAGAAAAATAGAATTGAACAAAAAAAATGCGTTTATAGAAAAGCTAATACAATCAGAACTAAGCTGCTTAAAGAGAAAAAACAAAAATAATACGGAAAATAAAATTTAAAAAAAAACAAAATATGTTAGCTAATAGTGACGTGATTAGTTGTGCTCTCGTAGACTGACAACATAGTTTTTTACGCATTCTACAAACTTAGATTGTGACGCTACAAATAAATCCATATTCGGGCGAAAAGAATTGTACATTCGGTTTATATGATAGCACGCAAAAAAGATAGGAGTATTTTTTATTCGAATTAAGTCACTTTGGTCAATATAAAATGGTGAAACATCTCTAGATGATTACGAGGGATCCTGAAATTAATTAAGTCTAGTAGAATTCTACAGTCAATGTTATAGTTAATGATTTTAAATACAAAAATAGATGCATTGATTATGCGTCGTTCTTCCAAAGTCAAAAAATCAAAACGTTCACACAGTGCAATATAATCACACCCTCGTTGGGGGTAAAGACCGTCCTCCTTAAAAGCTAGGAATTTTAAGAAATGTTTTTGGATTTTATAAATAGGCTTAGCACTCTTTTTAGTATGGGGATTCCATATTAACGAAGCATATTCTGCCGGAGAGCGAACCAGAGCGTTAAACAATAAGGTAAAAGTTGACACGTTACTAAAGTTTCTACTGGACCTGATGAGAAAACCCAGCATTCGAGAAGCGGTAGAGACTAAGGATGTTATATGTTCGTCAAAAGTTAAGTCATAGCAAAAAGTTACGCCAAGGTCACGTGTGGAAGTTAATCGAGAAAGAAAGGTGTTATTTATTTGGTAAGGAAAAAGGAAGGGAAAATTAGATTTGTGAAAAGTTAAAATTTGACATTTAGAAATATTAAGGGGTAATTTGTTTCCAGTACACCAAGAGTGGATGGTTTGAAGGTCAGATTGAAGGTTGGTAGCGTCGAAAATAGAGTTGACTCTTCTGAAAATTTGCAAATCATCAGCAAAAAGTAAAACCATAGATTTTATATTATTCACTACATCATCAATATAGATAGTAAAGAGGGGGGAGCCTAGGGCTGAACCCTGAGGAACACCACGAAAAGGGATAAAAGATTTAGATTGAAAATTACCAACTTTGACGAAATGAGACCGATTTTTTAAGTAAATTAAGATTAAGAGTTTAAAGTTAAGAAGGATATTTAGTAGATCTAATTTTGTGTCTAGGATGTCATGGTCAATGGTATCGAAAGCTTTAGCGAAATCAAGATAAATTACATCAACCTGGAAATTAAGTTTGAAGGATTCTCTAATAAAATGAGTAAGTTGTGCTAAATTTGTTAAAGTAGATCTTTTTGGCATACAGCCGTGTTGAAATTCTGAAACGACAGGTTTAATTGCATAATTAAGAGTTGGTATGATACAAAATTCAAATATTTTGGCGAAATTGTTAATTATTGCAATTGGTCTGTAGTTCGTGCAACTCGATTTATCACTAGATTTATAAACTGGAAGAACTTTCGCCATTTTCCAAGACTCCGGGAACACACAGTGCAACAGACATAAATTGAAAAAAAGTGTTAAAGGATAAGCAAGGATAGAGGCGCAGTCTTTAGGTAAAAAGCTTGGGATTTCATCAGGTCCCGCTGTAGTAGTCGGTTTCAATGATTTCATTGCTTTAAGAACTTGTTTAACAGTTAATTGCATAAAATTACTTTCAAAGTAAGGATGGTCTTTACTTACAGTTTTGTTGGAAGATAATGGTTGAAAACTAGCATTGACAGATGAAAAAATATTAGCAAAAGTATCAACTATAATTTGAGGGTTTTCAATTTGAGTATTATTAAAATTCATAATACTCATAATACATAAGTAAGTATTCTTACTTATTTTATTTACTAATTTTTTTAACGAATGAGAAATTTTTTTTATAAACATGATTGGCATAATAGTTTTGTAGGACCGTGAAAAAAATCACACGTGGATGAAATTTAAAAAAAAATTGAATTTCACGTTTTAAACAGTATTCATTAAAAAGATTTTCTTAAGTGTCCGACTTCTGTTTGGTTTACCGTATATAGAGGGGGATAATTTGTTAATTATAATATATTACTTGCCATTAAATTCAAAACCAAGTTGAAAGTAATATTCATTACACTCATCCAATTCCCACTTTCATTTAGAATTTCTTTTCTCAAATTTTCAAGTTGGAGAAAAATGAAATCACTTTGCACTAAATCTTCGTTTTGATACAAAGACACCAAACTATTGAACCACATCAGTTGTTTGTTTAATGATGCAGCGACAAGTTGTTGTATGGCATCTGTCCACGCAGCTATGTCATAGGATGTAATATCTGATACATCTTTTATAAAACAAAATAATTTAAATATATATATTTTATGTTCATCTTTGCATATATTTCCAAATGAGCTATCATTTACATTCAGTGAAAATACAGTTTCGTTAATCCAGTTTAAATAATTAATTCCAGTGAAAGGATAATTTAGATTCTGTTTCTGAATATCATTGTTAAAAATTTCTTGCGTAACAAATAGATGTCTCGATTTAAAGCACTTTAGACTTCTGTCGAAAATTCTTTTTTTTCTACTTTTATCAAAATTGTTGCTATTCTTCTGAATCTGTTGCAGTATTGTGTTAAAATGCATTAAAAAATTTTCGCTCTCAGAATTAATGTTAAATCCAATCGAATCGCAAGCGTAATAATTGTCGAATGCTTTTAAGGATGTGTAGTTTGTTTTTTCTCTAAACAATTGTTCTCTTAATACAAATAATTCGGAGAAACTTTCACCTGTTTTTAGTTTTTTGTTAACATATTCTACTAGAGGGCAATTGGAGCAATTTGATTTTAGGTGAACTAAAATATCTTCAAAAAATGGATTCTCTTTTCTTACGTTGACAAAATCAAACGTAACACCTAACTGATCGGTTAACAACCTTTTTTGACAGTATATAGTGAAAGAATTATTTAGAATGTTTACTGGATAAACAAAGTAGTATACATTGTGAGCTTCATATAGATAAAAATTTTCCGTTATCATATTATGCATCTTACTCCAATGTTTGTTGGTAATTTCATTATCGTATAATATCCTTTTACTCTGAGATATATTTCTAACTCTGCTTATTCCATCAGTAAATTTACGTGCTATAGTTACTATTAATGGTTTATAATTTTTTCGAAATAGCCATTGATCAAGTACAAGGGAGTAATCGTAAAGAGTACAGATATCATCATCAGGCATGGATTGGTTTCTTTCCTTTTTCTCTAACTGTAAAATACCAATTTGGAAAAATATTTTTAAATTTTTAGCGCCTATTCCTTCAAGAAAAAATACTTTTGTGCAAAAAAAATTCTTAATAGACAATTTACTATTATATTCTTCTTTTTCTGAATGCTAGGGAAGAAGTTTGAACAAATTTCTGATGTATTAGTTTTACAATGTATAAACATATGTAGGCACGCAGTGAATATTATTTCTTGAATATTTCATCGGAAAATTTTTAATACTTCAGTGTTAAGTTCACGCAACATTTACTACAATATGTCCTCAAAGTCTGTGACATTTTTCTAAATGCAACAAAATTTCAAATACTTTACAGGGAAATATTTCAAAAATACTTTGAAAATATTATGTGCAAGTTTGTCTTAAAAGCAATTAGTTGGTATTTTAGAATCACAAAAAAGATTCAAAAAATCTTTTTATTAGCTTTTTATTTTTCATTTTAAATCTTATCATTAATGTAAAATGCAAATATTCTACAAGAGAAGTTATAATATTACTTATGAAAAAATAATTTTAAATTATTAGAATAATTTAAACTGCTTTTTTTCTTTAAAGTTTCTTTATTTTCGAAATATTATAATTTACCAGATTTATAAATAGGAAAATAATAAAAACAGAATCCATGTCTGGTTGGAGCTTTCGTTCTAATTGGAGCGCATTAGGTTCTCTTGCGCGGGGTTGCTGGACCTTTATCAGACACGTATCAGGTAGTAGATAGGTGTGGCTTCTAGAAACAGGTGGTATTGAGGAAATCAAATACTCGTTGCGGACCAAAACCAGGAAAAAAGAAAACATCTATTATGAGCGATTGTAAAAAGAAGAAAGTGTACCTGCGGGGTAATGCTTCGGCTAAATCCCTCACTGGTTCCGATCGTCAAGCGCTTTCAAGCGTGGGGACGGTGGCCAGTGGCCCAAGGATGCAGGAGGGCAACAACGCGTTGGTAGTACCTAGAGTTGTCTTGGACTGAGTAGATAGACGAGGAAGCACGATCAGCATCACAAGTCAAGCCAACTGCATTTCTGTCTTCAGTAATGCTTCTGCGATTGACATTGCTAGCTGCAATGAAGATCAAGATGAATACATTAAGCTACGTGAGGAAAAGGGCAGCAAGGTGCTGAAGTCCTGTGAAGTCCAGAAGAATGTCAATATGACAATCAAGGTTGGACTCAGAAGCTTAACATCGCTTATACAGGATGTGAAGGAGAAACACGCAGTAGCGACAAAAAAATACGAGAAGTTCTACCAGGGGTTAACTTGGTCAGAAGAAGCATGCACGGACCGAAGGCTGAGACGTGACCATTTTAATGCAGTAATGCTCCAAAACATTGTGCGAAGGACACAAAAAGGAAGAAGGAGGAGGGACCTCCTAAAAGGACTAAAGGCAAGGGAACCGAAACGGCACTAAAGCCAAATTCAGTCAAGAGAGGAAGAATCACAGTGATCGTCAAAGTGGCTGAAGAAACTACCTTCGCCAAAGTGCTTGCGAAAGTTCGTGAAGAGGCTGACCTGAAGGCCAGTCAGACAAGGGTTGTGGGAGCTTTATCCACTAAAAAGGGAGACCTCCTTTTTAAAATTGGAGGGTCTTTAAACAAGAGGTTGTTCACTGAAAAGGTGACAAAGGTAGTCGGCGACCTAGGTAAGGTGCAGATGGCGGACCGGCAGACTGTGCTGGAAATCCGCGACATGGACATCCTTACCGAACAGGAAGACGTCAAGGAGGCCCTAGACAAATTATCTACGGTACCAGCGGGAAGGTGACGGTTCTTGGAGACGAGAAAATGACCATTGAAAATTGTCTCTAAAATGTGTCCGTCTTTGTCCTTAAAGGGTAAAAATTGTTGCAATGCAATATCAATATTTTGATACTTTTTAGGGTTCCGTACCCGGTAGGAACTCTATTAAAACGGTTACAAAAATAACAATTTACCCACCCCCTTTAGCTCACAGTTCCTACCTAGAAAGATGAAAATTGGTATCCATGTGTATTTTCAAAAATAGATTACAGGAAAAATAAAGCGATCATGTTTAGAGTTGATCTTCATAGTGTTTTTATCGAAAAACTCGAAATTTTTGAAAATTTTTAAAAAATGCATGAATTTTTCCCTGACGACTACAGTTTTTCTACCTAGAGAGCTGAAAATCGGCATACCTATGTATTTTCACTCGTATATTACAGACAAAATATAACGGAAATGATTAGAATTGGTCTTCATGGTGTTTTCAGCGAGAAACTAAAATCTTTTTTTGCATGCTCGAAAATATTTTAACATTTGCTGGTTCTCACAATTCTTAATCTAGTGGACTGGGGTTATACATTTTTATTTATTTTTACGAGTAGATTTCAACAAACATACAGCAAAAATTATTTAACATACTTAGAAAAACTGTGCTTCAAAAAGTTAATGTTTAAAGTTTAACTTACATCGTTTTCTGTCAAGATTGAAATTTTCCCAACTAGCAGTAGCAGAATTAATCCAAATGCCGCCAAAAATTTATAACGGTAATCCATGTTTGGTTGATGCACAAATTTTTGCTTCGACACTTGTACTGGTTTACTTTTGCAATGAAAAAACTTTCTGATAAAATGAAAAATTATAAAGATTAAACAATTTTTTAACAACTTTTCTCTTATGACATTATTTTTCTATAGTTCATAAATTAAAATCGCATGTACGAAAAATATAAATTTTAATCGCTGACAAATTTGTGTGTGTATGTGGATTCATTTTATTGTGAAAAGATAACTTGGAAGAAGTTTCAACGAATTTTGGTAAAAAATTTTATGTATGTAATTGGTATAGATCTTTTTTTAATAACTTTCATACAATGATTATTGCAGTGGAAAAGTGTAATAATTTTTATTATTTACAACTATTATTGATTGCAATTAACAATTGGACTACTATTTTTTCCAATTCACCATATTTTCAACTATCAATATTTGCAACTAAGAATAGCTATAATTACAATTATTTTTAGTTTCTAATTAGAACTACCAATGGTTGCAACTAACATTCTAAAAAAATAATTAAAAAAATGTCTTTCGACGCATGTATTAATACATTTTTATAATGATAAAGATATTCTAGCATGTATATGTATGCTAGCCAGTATGCTAATCATGAAAAGTTATAAACTTTTCAATAACTTTTATTTTATGACATTTTTATTTTGAAACTCTAAACCCTATCTCATGTGCAAATAATAAATAAATGAAATCAACAATAAGGAACATTGGATCGTGATGGTAGTTATCAAACATATAATTTTTTTAATAATACAAAAGTCATTATTCAGAAATCTTTTATTTTTTTAATTAATTTTATTATAATATAAACATTTACTTAGAAGTACGTATCGCAATTACAGTAAACTTTGTATATTAATGTTAATATAAAGCGATCAGGGGAGAAAATTTTTTACCTAAAACTACGAATTTCATTATATTATGAACATTTTTAGTTACTTCAGAGTTTATACTTTCTCTATTCTAGAGAAATTTTTCGCTATTTGTAATGAAATTTTTTCTCGTTCATTTCCAGTGTGCATTAGGACATGGAATGTCTTTAAGACGTCTTTAGAACATTCTGAGGATGTCTATGTGCGTCCAAAAGATACCTTACATCCTAAAAACATCCTTAGGACATAAGATGTCTTTCGGGTGTCTTTCGAACGGACATACACGTCCATGTCCCAGTGCCCACATGGTTATTTCAACTTTTAATTTTTCAAACCATTTATTAAATTATCGTCACTATTACAACTCTCTAAAACTAAATCAGTGAAATCTGACTGATATTCAATGATTCTATTTTTACACTTTTATTAAATGAAATTTCACTGAAAAACTAAGTCAAAATTCACTGATTTTTCACTACTTAATAAACGGAAGAAACAGTTTACCAAAAAGTCGGGAACTATTTCTCAAGTCGTAGATTGACAAAATGTGGTGAAATAATTTTAATTTTTAGAGAAATTGTATATAACTTATTTAATGAGGCAACTACTAACTTTTTCAGAAATATTGGTTGTGTCCAAGACTTGAGAACTAAGTTCCCGATTTAACGGTGAACTGTTTCTTTTCATGTCATTTTTACATCTAGGATAAAATACAGTTTCTCTTATTACTAAATAGAATTTGTTTAACGAATCAGCACCATTTGAGATAATTTTTGGTATTTTCGAGTACGAAAGTTTTAATTGTCTTAAAATTTTACCTTCATTATACATATCGAAGTAATCAAACAATAACACTTCGTTCATCCATTTTAATGTCTCTGACAAATATTCAGTAATAACATTTTTCTCATTTTCAGCAATTTTTTTGATATTCTTAACATAATACGATTTCATATCTGTAAGTTTTAGGATACCTTCTATATAATTTGTTTTTAAAAAGCAAAAGAATTTAATGAACTGAAAAATATTCGAATTCATACAAAAATATTTTAAATTATCATTGTCTGTGATATTTATTGATGTTATGTTATTGTAAGCAGATTGTATGAAAAGTAAAATATGGAAAAAATCTCCTATTTCAGTTATTCTGAAATCAATGTTAATTCTTTTATTTATTTCCTCTAGAGATGAGCATGAAAAATCATTAAGTAAATAATCCGTACGATAAGAAATTTGTTGTGTATTGAGAAAATCATAAAATTTCTGTGCATATTCAATCGAATTGTTATCTTTATAATTTATAATTATCTTTATAATTAAGTAAATTATTTTTCTCTATCATAAAAATGTAATTAAACATGAAAATAAAAATAATAAACGACTAATAAAAACAAGATCACTATGAAGAATATTATTGAAAATTTTTAACGTAAAATTATTTGAATTATTAACATGAGTTTTTCTATTAATTTGATTGGCTGGATTGTTTTGAAGAAATGGCGAGGTTGTCATCATAGTCTTACCGACAGATTAGCTCGGTCGGATAAATGCCTGGCTCGGTGGGCGGACCAAGGGTACTTGGTTCGCGCCCATTAGCCTGGGATTTTTCCGGCACGTGAGATAATCTGAGCGGGAGGTTTGACGTCGAGGTATAATGATGTGCACTGTCGATTATTGTCCAGTACACACCGTTAAAACTCGGCTGACGATAAACCGGTTGTACTCAGGAGAGGTTTTCTACAGTTTCCCTCTTCTCTGGCGAGAAAACCCATTGACGGGTGGTCCAGGCAAATGCGAGTACTCCTAACCTCAAAAAGTCGTTCTGTAGAAACGCAAAACTAGTTGGAATATAAGAGTGTGTGTTCTGACAGTTGGCCTAGCTTCAAGTCATTTAAGAAGAAAAAAAAATCATAGTCTTGAAAAAACACTAACAGTTTAACGATTGTCTAGTAGAAAATAAATATTACTTAAGTGCCTTCCGTTGATAAATTTTTCTTTTCATGTTTCTTTTTTCTTGCTTTTTATCTTCTTTTCTTCGATTTTCGTTCATTTTTTCACTTCTTATTATATTTTTTGTTATTTCATGATAAACAAAAAAAAATAAATGCGAAACTTCAGATTGATCGGAAAACGATAGATTTCACCAACCGACAAATTTGACGAACAAAAAATTAAATATCCAGGTAAAATAAATAATTAGTACTACACAAGTATCACAAATATCCAATAATATATTTTGCTTAAAATAAAGTTCAAAATAAAAATCATGCACATAAAATTTGAATTACAATTTAACTGTACCCCGTATTTAAATTTTTTTCGTGCAGTTTTTAATGCTTATTTTATAAAACCAAAATGATTTGATCAGCGACACAAAAACTGAGGTACACTTTTTAGAATATTATATTTTTAATAGTTTTCACTTTTTATTTTTATAATTTCGTTTATGGAATTCTTAAGATATTTTTAAATAGTTTATAAGAGATTCGCCCAAGTAACAAATTATTTACTAACTCATCACGACTGTTTGATAACATTTTGTTTTGAAACTGTGTACAGAAATTATTAAGTTTGAAGTATTATTATTATTATTATATTATTATAATATATATTATTATATATATTATTATATTATTATTATTATTATTAGGGGAGAGTTGTCAGAGTTGGGCATAGTTTTGACTTTTCTTCATAACTTCCTCTGTAGAACGAATTTCGCGATTTTGCGCATATTGTTGGAAAGATCAACTCAAATGCAATGTTTTTGCTGAACATTGTAAAGAAATTTGACCAAAAGATTCGGAGTTATAAGCAATTTAAAAAAAATGTCAGGGTTGAACATGATTGCCAGAGTTGAGTCACTGTAGAAAATCAATGAAATATTTAGGTAAATGATTAAAAATGACCTTCAAGTGATAGAATGACACTTGGGAATGAGGAAAGGAAATGTACAAAATAAAAGTTATGAATAGATAATTCAAGTGACATTTTTCTACGATTTTCTAATTCATTCTAGAAAGGAACATAATAACATAATTTTATATATTATTCTTAAAAATTTAATAATAGTGTTGAAGTTTAACTTACATCGCTTCCACTCAAGATTGAAATTTGCCCAAGTAGCACTAGCAAAATCAAGTTGAATGCCACCAAAAATTTACTGCGGTAGTTCATGTTTGGTTATTGTGAAAATATTTGCTTCGACACACGTACTGATGTAATTTTGAAATAAAAATTTGTTTGCTAAAATGAAAAATAAAGTGAACAATCTTTTCGATAATTTATTTAGTAGAAACAAAATTGTCCTTGATCTTTTGGATAAATCTCTAATTATTATTGCAGTGGGAATAATTAGTTGCTTTCATTGATTGCAATTAAAAATAATTAAAATTACAATTTATTCTAGTTCATCATATTTTGAACTATTTATATTTTCAACTAAGAATAGTTATAAATACAATTATTTTTAGTTTCTATTTAGAACTACCACTAAACAACAACTAGTGCAATACAACTCTAATTGGAGTTGGTAACAGTTTAACAGTTTTTTATTAGTTAAGAATTTTTTCCCGTGTAAAATTATTTTAAAAAAATTTTAAAATATAATAATAAAGAAATATAAAAAAGTATAAAAAACTGTTACTAATTCCTATTGGAGTTAGTAACAGTTTAACAATTTTTTATTAGCTAAGGATTTTTTCCGTGTAGAATTAATGAAAAAGGAATTAAAAATTTAGAAAAATATAATAATACCTAAGGAAATATTATTAAAAAGTATGAAAAACTGTTACCTACTTCAATTGAAGTTGGTTACAGTTTAACAGTTTTTTTAAAGTTATCGAAAGTTTCCTTATCTTTAAGGAATTTCAGTAGAGTGCTTGCCGTAGAATCGTTTCACGTGGGCTCGATGTTATATGCAGGGACCTCAAATATGGTCAAAAAACAAAATTTTTGCACTTTTAGGCTAGAATATCCCGAAAGCCCGACGTGCTGGGACAATTCTGAAGCCTAACTTTATTAATCATTTTTTTTTTTAATATTTTCAATTTTAAAATTAATGTATTGAATATTATTGAATTCTTGCAAAGAATTGTATTAAAAAATTTTTGAGAATAATGGAATTTCTTTGAAGAATTTTATTATTTATGAAAAGAATTTAATTCCTTTAAGGAATTTTAATGAAATTTTTGAAAATCCTAATTAAATTCCCGCATGTTAGGGAAAAAGTTTCGGCAAATTTCTGATGTGTTAGTTTTATATGTAGTTACACAGTGCATATTATATCTTTAATATTTCATCAAGAAATTTTAAATATTTCAGTGTTAGGTTCACTCAAAGTTTACTGCAATATTTCCTCATAGTCTGCGACATTTTCCTAAATGCAACAAAATTTCAAGAACTTTACAGAGAAATATTTCAATTATTTATAAAATATTATGCGCACAAGTTTATTATAAACAGTAATGGTTTCATGTTTTTAGAAACACAAATGAATTCATCACGACTGTTTGATAAATTCTTTTTTAAATTAACTACAAAAATTCTTAAGTTTAAAAAAAAACTTTTTATTTTTAAACTTCAAATCTTATCATTAATGCAAAATGCAAATATTCTGCATGTAAGGTAATAATATTACTTATAAAAAAATAATTTAAAATTACTAGAGAAATCTAAACTGTTTTTTTTAAGTTTCCCTATTTTCGAAAATATTATTATTTAATATTATTATTATTGAACTTTACAGTTCTGTATATGATAGGATAATGATGCAACTATCTTTTTGACCGCAAAAAAAGAATGATTTTTCATCATTATTTTTAGACTTATTTTCATTAAAACTTCATTAAAATAATGTACATTGCATCAGATAGCACATGGTTTTATGAACTTTGAGAAACTTTGAAACTTAAAAAATATTATTATTTGTGTAAACTGTATCTGTTTCCCCAAAAAACTTTTTTTTAAAATGGCTTGCAGTGTGCACGATAAAACGAAAACAACTCAACTGAAGGGCTCAAAAGATGCATGTGAAAAAACTCTACAAAACTAAGGAAAAACATTTAAAGGTGTCCTAACATTTGTTTAAAAGTTATGACAAAAAAATGTTTTTTTGCATAATTGAAAATGCAAAAAAAAGTAGTTAAGCTCGATGAATCGGGCTGAAAATTCCCTAATATTATGTCCCCCGAGGAGACTTACAATTTACATGAAATTGAAGTCTGCTCTTTCTCGTTCTGCGATATTGAGGCAGATCCAATGTTAGTACACACACACATCCGGACATTTCTTAAAAATACGTTTTTTGGACTTCTGAGGTCAAATTACATCGAAATACATCAAAAATCATATTAAATAATATCATATTAAAATTATTTTCAGTATTAGAATATTTGTAAATTATTCAGTATCTTTATTTATTCATAAAAAATTCATTTTTATTATAAAACATACATATAAATGATAAAAGAATTATCTCATATGAACTTCCAATGATTTCAGTGTACCCTCTCTTAAAGAATTATATATTTCCTAAATAAATATAATATAAATAGTAAATAAATTTAATAATATAAAGAATTTATTTGAGGAAAGAATAAACGGTAGAATAAAATTTCTTATCATTTTTTATTGTCGTTTTGTACCTAAAAATATTCTGGATCGTAAACTGACGTAGCGGACAGTTATTAAAACCTGATATCACGAAACAACTTTTTCGATTACTATAAAAAAACGAAATATCACCATATTACAGTATATTAATTATTTTTAATTACAGTATTATTCTTATAATTTTTACATCTAGAATAAAATACAGTTTCTCTTATTACTAAATAGAATTTGTCTAACGAATCAGAACCATTTGAGATAATTTTTGGTATTTTCGAGTACGAAAGTTTTGATTGTCTTAAAATTGTACCTTCATTATACATATCGTGGTAATCAAACTGTAACATTTCGTTCATCCATTTTAATGTCTTTGACAAATATTCAGTAATAACATTTTTCTCATTTTCAGCAATTTTTTTTATATTCTTAACATAATCGGATTTCATATCTGTAAGTTTCAGGATACGTTCTATATAATTCATTTTTAAAAAGCAAAAGAATTTAATAAACTGAAAAATATTCGAATTCATACAAAAATATTGTAAACTATCATTGTTTGTGATATTTATTGATGTTATGTTTTTATAAGCAGATTCTATGAGAAAGAAAAAATGTTGAAAATCGTCTATTTCAGTTATGCTGAAATCAATGTTAATTCTTTCATTTATTTTCTGCAGATATGAGCACGAAAAATTATTAAGTGAATAATATGTACGGTAAGAAAATTGTTGTGTGTTTAAAAAATCATAAAATTTCTGTGCATATTTAATCCAATTGTAATCTTTATAATGTGAATGGTTATTATAAACAAATTTTGGTAATCTATTGTAAAAAGTGGCATATACTGACAAATATTTTGAATAGCGTTTATGAAATTCATGATGCAGATAAATTAAATATATGGGACTTAAAAAACGGTTCGTACAATTCGTTGTAAATAAGTGACAGTTGTCTGGTAGAGCAGGAATGAGTAATTCATTATAACCTATGGTTTCGAATTTATTGGGGAACAAAAATTTGGAAAAGCTAGCGAAATAAAATACAACTTTTGAATAATCGTCAATCATTTTGTACTCGAAATAGGTAATCAATACGTCGTCATATCTATCGGCGATCAATGGATAAACATAATAATAAGTATCATTGCATTGTAGCAGATAAAAATGTTTCATTATTTCATCATACACAAACTGTTTTGTATAATGAAGATCTTCTCTTTTTATTTTTGGTACTACTCTTTTGCCTGCTATAGGTGCAAGTTTCCATTCCCCTGTCAGCATACAATCAGTTACTATAATTACTAATCTCTTGAATTCCAACTCAGGAAGTATAGAATCAATTGTGTCCAAATAATTGTAAAATAAACAGGGTGAACTTAACGTAGACATGCTACCACTCTTTCCTATCTGTAGACACAAATATTTAGAATTAATAATTGTTATTAATTTCAATACTTTTTTAATATTATTTTTTAACTTTGCTTGTGAAGCATTGCACCTAAAAAAGTACCGAAAATATGTACCTACTGAATTAATATACGGTAATATTTACCGAATAGTGAAAGCATTACAAACCCGGTAATTTTTCTGTAAAAAGACAGCTTTTCCTTTTTTAATAATTATAATCAAATCAATTAAATTTTTTAATTGAAAATCATATTTTCACTATTTTTTTAAATGTGGGGAAATTTATTACGAACGTCATTAGATTGTATCCAAATTCAATTTAAAATTACAAAATTGTTACACAAATTGTTATAAAATTTTTACAATCAAGTTTACTGTTCAATGTCGACTAAAGATATGCTGTACTATACTTTGTACGAATTTAATTACTTTTTATATATACAGGGAGACTATTTGTTAATTATAATTTATTACTTGCCTTTAAATTTGAAACCAAGTTGTAGGCAGTACTCATTACACTCATCCAATTCCCACTTTCATTTTGAATTTCTTTTTCCAAATTTTCAAGTTTGATTAAGATGAAATCAATTTCCAATAAATATTCATATTGATACAAAGACATCAATCTGTTGAACCACATAAGTTTTTTGACCAATGCTGTAGCTATAAGTTGTTGCAGGGTATCTGTCCACGCAGATGTGTTGTAGGATGTAATATCTGATACATCTTTTATAAAACAAAATAATTTAAATAAATATATTTTATGTTCATCTTTGCATATATTTCCAAATGATCTATCATTTTCATTCAGTGTAAATACAGTTTTGTTAATCCAGTTTAAATAATTAATTCCAGTGAAAGGGTGCTTTTTATTCTGCTCGTTAATATTATCGTAAAAAATGTCTTTTGTAACAACCAGATTTCTTGACTTGAAACACTTTAGGCTTCTTTCAGAAATACTTGCCTTTTTATCTTGATCAAGATTTTTGTTTTGAATTTGTTGCAGTAATGAGTTAAAATACATTAAAAAACTTTCGCTCTGGGAATTAATGTTAAATCCAATCGAATCGCAAGCGTAATCATTGTCGAATGCTTTTAGGGATGTGTACTTTGTTTTTTCTCCAAACAATTGTTCTCGCAATATGAATAATTCGAAGAAACTTTCACCTGTCTTTAGTTTTTTGTTTACATATTCTACCAGAGGGCAGTTGGAGCAACTTGGTTTTAGAGGAACTAAAATATCTTCATAAAAAGGATACTCTTTTTTCAAGTTAATAAAATCAAAGGTAACACCCAACTGATCTTTTAATAAGATTTTTTGATAGTAGATGATAAAAAAATCGTCTAGAATATTTACTGGATAAACAAAGTAGTATACATTGTGAGCTTCATATAGATAAAAATTTTCCGTTATCATATTATGCATCTTACTCCAATGTTTGTTGGTAATTTCATTATCGAATAATATTCTTTTACTCTGAGATATATTTCTAACTCTGTTTATTCCGTCAATAAATTCACCTGCTATAATTACTATTAATGGTTTATAACTTTTTTGAAATAGCAAATAATCAATTAGAAAGGAAGAATCGTAAACAGTACATATATCATTATCAGACATGAATTGGTTTCCTTCCTTTTTGTCTACCTGTAAAATGCCAATTTTAAAAAATATTTCTAAATTTTTAGCACCTATTTCATCAAGAAGAAATACTTTTTGTGCATTTTGCGCTCATTTCTGATATGCCTGATATGTTAATATTAAAATGGGTATCAATATGTAGTTGTACAATGTAATTAATTAATTTAATTAATTTTTGAAGTACCGTAAACTGGGGCTATTAGGAACAGATTTCAACTTTAAAGTCTTACAACTTTTTTATGTATTGAAATATTGCTTTAATTTTTTGTTTCTTTTCTTGATCTTGGCGAGCGCATTGAAGGGTTAAATAATTGTCTTGATCAAAGCTGGAATTTTAAGCGAAAATGACCAAAAAGACGCATTTCTTCGAAATTACAAAATGGGGCTATTAGGAACAAGGTGGTAAAAACCATTGGAAAACGTATTTAAAGTTAAAGAAGTTATTTTTTATTGCTCGAAAGTAAACACAGAATATAAAACAAATGTAAAAACAAAACTAAAAGAGCGAATGTGTGTTTTAAACGTTGCTGGTATCATCAGTTGAGAGCGATGATGAAATCCCTGGTCGTTTTTGCGATTTGTCGGTTCCAACACTCTTTCACAATTTCGAACCATCTTTGAACACTAAAAACAAAATTAGGTGATAAAAAACAAAAGAAATTACGAAAAACTTACGTTTTGTCAACATACTTTAACAATTCGGTAGAAATAATTGTGTTCCTTATATACTCGCCGTTTGTGAATTTTGGTTTTTGTTTCTGAAATCTTACTGTAAAAACAAAAAAAAAACATTTTAATTACTTAGTGAACTCAATAAAGTTTCCCATAAGAAATTCTATTAATAAAAAAACAATCACTTTGAGAAGTTAAAAATGAAACAACTTATTTCAGCTATCAAATGTTTTCCACGTTTAAAACTTCACTAAAACACATTAAGTCACTTACAAGCTACTATTGTTCACAAAATAATTAATAGTCACAATTATTGCAATGAAAAGTATTGCCAGTTACCAGCAACAATTTTTCAAAAGAAAGTAACACAATTTATCGATAAACGGCGCCGATAGTATCAACTCCACCCGAAAACAGAATTTTGTTCCAAATAGTCCCAGTTTACAGTAATTATAATTTTGAAAACAAGTTACGTTCTAAGTAAATAGAGAAGAATATGGAAATTGTGAAACCTAGCGGACGTGGAAAGAACTAATCAGAGTACAGTTCAACAACGCGCATAGGTTGTTCATTTGATAAAAAAATGAAATTTTTTTTAAAGTGAATTTTTCAAGGTCAAAAATTTTTTTTAATACATAGTTTTCTCCATTAGAAAGTGCGAAAAGCAGTTATAAAATTCAAAATAAGTACATCTTTTCCTTTTGTCTTAAAGAAAATACAAATTTTTCAAATATGACATGTACTTTGACCGCCTCCAGTTTTTACATTTGTTTAATTAAATTAATAATATTTGGTATTCTTAATTGTTTACAGTAGGACTACAGTTTGTACAAACGTTTGTCCTGATCCCAATCATATCAAATTTGGACCCGAATCACTTCACGTAAAATGACACATTGGTTTCATCTTGATTTTGTAACATCTTGCATTTTTTGTGCATAACTTTATAATTCTTATTACTTGAGAGAGAACAATTTTTACATACTAAGTATTTATATTTTTGCTTTTTACGATATTGTTTTACATTTTTTGAAATGTAATTTAAAATTTATTTGAGTTTATTTAAATGATTAATTTTAATGAAATATTTTAAAAATATATGTCAGTTTAAAACAACTTTTTTAAATGAAATCTACTATTAAGTTTACCTACGTCAATTCTTTATATTGTAAAAAACACTACTGTCGGAAATTATCGGTTACGGTTCCACGTGCAGGGCCTAAAACATATTTAAATTTTAACTTGAAAAGTTTCGTGAGCCGATCTTCTACGATGTCTGCTACCAGATGTTTTAAATTCAGGGTTCTCAAATAAATGTACCATTAATTATTAATAAAATATAAAACAGAACTCACCATAGACCCGAAAACACGCGCGCGAATATAAATGTATTAGTTCAGTGAAGACAATAAATATATTGTCTTCACTGAACTAATACATTTATATTCGCGCGTGTGTTTTCGGGTCTATGGTGAGTTCCCGACTTTTAAATTTTTTGTCTTATCTTTTATTCCCACCTATCTAATCACGCTATGGAAAATTCCTTCAACGAAACTTGCTTATTTTTAATAATATCAATCTTCAAATTACGATATTTAAGTAAAAACAAATCTCCGAATATTAATAAATGTGCCATTCGAAAACTTATAATACTCTACGTTATATGATACATAACCTAAAATTTTAATAATTTATACAAAGATTTTAGCAATTGACAAATTTGAGAAAAAAAGTTTGAAAATAATTTTTTTTTTAAATTTGTTAAACTCTTGCATATTTTTTAAAAATTGCAGAAAAAATTCGGTTCGCGAGATATCATTATAAACGACTGAGCGTTTTCAGCCAAAAACCGTTTAAAATCGACTAATTCAATGCATTTGTTAAAAAACATTATCAGACGTTTATAAGGGGCCATCCGTAAACCACGTAGCCTCTTGAAGGGGAGGGGAGGGGTGTCAAGCAATTGACTACGACAAGAGGAAAAAATGGCGCTAATACATGTAATAGCGTACTACATGAGTGGAGGGGGGTTCAAAATTCTCAAAAAATGGAGCTTCGTGGTTTTGGTTTTCTGGTCCTAAATTAAAGATGAGACTTGAATAATCACACATATGTAGGTTTTAAATTTTTTAAAAATGTGCAAAAGTTTAAAAAAAATTTATTAAAAAAATTTTTTTTCGTCAAATTTGTTGATTGCTGAAATCTTTGTATAAATTATTAAAATTTTCAGTTATGTATCATTTAACGTTGAATTTTATAAGCTTTCGAATGGTATATTTGTTAAATTTCTGACATTTGTATTTACAAAAAAATCGTGATTTAAAGATTGGTATGTTTTTGGGCACCGATAAAATAATTTCTTACGGTAGTGTATAAACTTTTAATAACTTTGAAGGTAGGTTCAAATCGAATGTAATTTTTGACCTAACTTTATATCTTATTAAAGTAAAGATTTCCTTCTTTCTTGTGGCCTAATGGCTTTAAACTTTATTTAAATTACATCAAAATTTTAACGCGTTCCGATGCAGTATTCTGCATCCTCATCAGAAAAAAAACGGAACAAAACGTCTGTAAAAAGACAATATAATAGATACACAGATCTTATGACTCACACACAGATACATATGTTTTTGTAAAATAAACATTATGTGTCTTAACATACGTACCAGACAAAATAAAAGTCAAAAAATAAATAAACATGGAACATTCAACATTCAGACATAACCTCAAAATAGGTCTGTCACTATTTCTTTAAACTCTTCATAAACGATAAAAGAAATCATAAAATAGTAAAAAACCACGTTTAGACAAACAATAGTAAAAACCTTTTTTGAAAAAAACTTTTTCATATGAGATTATATAATAATATAATATTCGGTTCTGCACATCTCAACACTCTTACATTATATATTTGAATACGTGACACGCGTGTGTGAGTGGAAGTGCAGAATCAAAACACGATACTTGGCGCAATCTAACCACGCCTTCATAATCCCCCTATATTTGTCCTACCCCCACTACTGCAGTTAGTCCTCCTGTCTCTAGTCTTCTTGATGTGACATATATGCTCCATGGTTTATATGAGTTTGTATAGAAGGTAATAATGAATGTATGAAAAAAACACAAAGTCCATAGATAACATGGTGGGTGACGGAGAAGTAGACAAGGTCTGTAGATAGCATGTTAGGTGAAAAAAAGAGTAACTTGTTTTAAAAAAGGGGAGAGAAGTTAATTAATTAAGTTTAAATAAAGAATACTCAAATTTTCGACATCACTTCTAAAATTTATGGAATTTTTTTCTTTTAAAATATAAAACATTTCTAAGATTTTTCGTCTGTTTAAGTCATTTTCTGTATCTAGAAATTTAACGCTGTTTTGTGAATAATCGAAACAATGCTTGTTTTCCGTTGAGTGTTTACATAGGGCGGTGGATTTATTTTATTGGTTTCTTGATATTTATGTTTTGTTCCGTTTTTTTTCTGATAAGAATACTGCATCGAAACGCGTCAAAATTTTGATGTAATTTAAATAAAGTTTAAAGCCATTAGGCCACAAGAAAGAAGGAAATCTTTACTTTATTATACTTGGCTTAAAATGAAAAAGGAGTTATACACTCCATATACTTTTTATATCTTATTACCCATAGATAAAGATTACATTTACAGTCCTAGTTAAAAATTTAGGTTAAATGTGACATACAAGAAAACTTTAATTTTAAATTCAAATTTTAGGAGTTTTTGAGTTTCTCACAGTGACGCACCCTGAAGTCATGTGCGGAAAATTTTTTTATAAAGCAGAATAGTTAAGAGAGTAAAATGAAAAAATAAATAAAGATATCACTTCAATAATACAAAAATAACATTTTGTTTGAAAATTTCAAAATGAAATTTTTTTGTAATATCTTTAATTGTCTTTTCAACATATCCAAAGCTTATTAAAATGCATCCAGAAGTTTTTAAGGAAAATGCGTTTTTTCACTTTTCTTTACCCCTCCTTAACTGTCACAAAACTCAAAATTTTGAGTTGAAAATTGCAGAATGTTATATTCATAGGGATAGTAATATATCGGACAAATTTAAGGAAAATAGATGCCACAATATTTCAAGAAAATAGTAAACTTCATTAAAAGTAGCAGTTTTTATGACATAATTTTTTTTAGATTTTGCTGTGTTATAACAAAAAACACTTTTTTTCTTTCTTTAAATTATAAAAGACATATACGATTGATTGAAAAATTTGATAAAAGATAAGTGTTCAAAAATTTTAGTTTTTCCAAAAATAGAGATTTTAAATTGATGAAAAATTCCCTTATATTTAACAGTAAACTACAATTATAATTTTGGAACTTAAATTCACAGTGTAAATAAGCTTATGGCGCCTAATCACCCCAGTTTTCCATTCCAAAGTTAATATATTTGAAAAACTGTGTTTCAAAATGTTTATGTTTGAAGTTTAACTGACATCATTCTGTGTCAAGATTGAAATCTTCCCAACTAGCAGTAGCAAAATTAAGCCGAATGCAGACAAAAATTTAGTACGGTAGTCCATGTTTGGTTGATGTGTAAATATTTGCTTCGACACAAGTAGTGATGTACTTTTGAAATAAAAAAACGCAATACCGAATTGCAAAATAATAAAGATTAAACAATTGTTTAACAACTTGTCTCTTATGACATTATTTTTCTATTGTTCATAAAACAAAATCGCGTGTACGAAAAATATAAATTTTAATCGCTCACAAATTTGTGTGTGTATGTGGATTCATTTTATTGTAAAAATATAACTTGAAAGAGGTTTCAACGAATTTTGGTAAAAATTGTTATGTATGTAATTGCGGCATAGATCTTATTAATAACTTTCTTATAATTATTATTGCAGTGGAAAAGTGTAATAATTCTTATTATTAATAATTATCATTGATTGCAACTAACAATAGTTAAGACTACCTTTTTTTAACTCACCATATTTTGAACTATCAATATTTGCAACTAAGAATAGTCATAATTACAATTATTTTTAGTTCGTATTAAGAATTACCACTGGTTACAACTATCTAAAGAAATATTAAAAAATATGTTTTTCTACACATGTATTAATATATTTTTCGAATATAAAATATATGCTAGCTTGTATATGTATGCTAGCTAGCATGCTTGTCATGAAAAGTTATAAACTTTTCAATAACTTTTGATTTTATGACATTTTTATTTTGAAACTCCAAAGCTTATCTCATGTGCAAAGAATGCAAATAATAAATAAATGAAATCAACAATCGTGATGGTAGTTATCGAACATATAGATTTTTTTAATTAACCCGGCGAGTATGTGGTTGGGCATGTCATGCCCCACATTTACTTAAATCCTTTTAAATCCTAAAATTTCCACTGTAACGTTTTGAAACTTCGAGTAGCTGAAGTTATGGGTTCATAAGAGAAGATGATGGTATGGTGATAGTGTTATGTAAATTATATTTTAAATTACTTGGACGTAAACGTCAATTTTGCATATTTTTGGCGAATTTTTTTTCCTAATTTCTACTAAATTAATGACAACTGAATTGAGATATATTCTAAAAAGCAGTATTATGCTCCTCATTCACTAATATTTAAAGTCCTGCCTTTATAAAAGTGCAAATTTGATTTTATAAAAGTTTTAAGTTTTCATTGTTTTATTTAATCATATGATAAATCTTATGACAAAGAGTTGATTTTATCTTTATAAATAAATAAATAATTAAGGAAATATATTTTATTACATGCCTTTTTATAATATAATACCAGAAATTAACTTAATATAGCTATATGTAACATTTATAAGCAATTTTACATTTTGGGCATGTCATGCCCACCACATAGTCGGTGTAACAGTTTCCTGCCACATACTCGCCGGGTTAATTTTATTACAATAAACAGTTACTTAGAAGTACGTATCGCAACTACAGTAAACTTTGTATATTAATGTAAATATAAAGGGATGCAGGGAGAAAATTTTTTACCTGAAACTACAAATTTTATTATATTATGGATATTTTTAGTTGCTTCAATTTATACTTTCTCTATTCTAGAGAAATTTTTCGCTATTTCTAATGAAATTTTTTTTCGTTTATTTCCAGTGGGCACTAGGACATGGGATGTCTTTAGGACGTCTTTAGAACATTCTGTGGATATCTATGTCCGTCCAAAAGATACCTTACATCCTAAAGACATCCTTAGGACATAAGATGTCTTTCGGATGTCTTTCGAACGGACATAGACATCTATGTCCCAGTGCCCATATGGTTATTTCAACTTTTAATTTTTCAAACCATTTATTAAATTATGGTCACTATTACAACTCTCTAAAACTAAATCAGTGAAATCTGACTGATATTCAATGATTCTATTTATACACTTTTATTAAATGAAATTTCACTGAAAAACTAAGTCAAAATTCACTGATTTTTCACTACTTAATAAACGGAAGAAACAGTTTACAAAAAAAATTGGGATCTATTTCTCAAGTCGTAGATTGACAAAATGTGGTGAAATAATTTTAATTTTTAGAGAAATTGTATATAACTTATTTAATGAGGCAACTACTAACTTTTTCAGAAATATTGGTCGTGTCCAAGACTTGAGAACTAAGTTCCCGATTTAACGGTGAACTGTTTCCTTTCATGTAATTTTTACATCTAGGATAAAATACAGTTTCTCTTATTACTAAATAGAATTTGTTTAACGAATCAGCACCATTTGAGATAATTTTTGGTATTTTCGAGTACGAAAGTTTTAATTGTCTTAAACTTTTACCTTCATTATACATATCGAAGTAATCAAACAATAACACTTCGTTCATCCATTTTAATGTCTTTGACAAATATTCAGTAATAACATTTTTCTCATTTTCAGCAATTTTTTTGATATTCTTAACATAATACGATTTCATATCTGTAAGTTTTAGGATACCTTCTATATAATTTATTTTTAAAAAGCAAATGAATTTAATAAACTGAAAAATATTCGAATTCATACAAAAATATTTTAAATTATCATTGTCTGTGATATTTATTGATGTTATGTTATTGTAAGCAGATTGTATGAAAAGTAAAATATGGAAAAAATCTCCTATTTCAGTTATTCTGAAATCAATGTTAATTCTTTTATTCATTTCCTCTAGAGATGAGCATGGAAAATCATTAAGTAAATAATCCGTACGATAAGAAATTTGTTGTGTATTGAGAAAATCATAAAATTTCTGTGCATATTCAATCAAATTGTTATCTTTATAATATGAATGGTCATTGTTAACTAATTTTGGTAATTCATTGTAAAAAGTGGCATATACTGACAAATATTTTGAATAGCGTTTGTGAAATTCTTGATGCACACCAATTAAATATATGGGGCTTAAAAAACGGTTCGTACAGTTCGTTGTAAATAAGTGACAGTTGTCTGGTAGAGCAGGAATGACTAACTCATTATCACGAGTACTATTCCATTCATTGGGGAAGAAATATTTGGAAAAGTTAGCGAAATAAAATACAACTTTTGAATAATCTCTAATCATTTTGTACTCGAAATAGGTAATCAATATGTCGAAATATCTATTCGCGATCAATGGATTAACATAATAAAAAGTATCATTGGATTGAAGCAGATAAAAATGTTTCATTATTTCATCATACACAAACTGTTTAGTATAATGAAGATCTTCTCTTTTTATTCTTGGTACTACTCTTCTGCCTGCTATAGGTGAAACTTTCCGTATCCCTGTCTGCATACTATCAGCTACGATTATTACCAATCTCTTGAATTCCATCTCAGGAAGTAAGGAATCAATTGTGTCCAAATAATTGTACAATAAACAGGGTGAACTTAACATAGACATATTACCACTCTTTCCTCTCTGTAGATAAAAATACTTAAAATTAATAATAATTGATAATTTACCGAAAATATGTACCTAATAAATATTCAGTATTATTTACCGAATAGTAAAATCTAATGATTGTAATCAAATCAATTAAATGTTTACTTAATAAATTGCAGGAAATTTTTCTGGATATATTTTATGGAATAATCCGTCGAACACGACGTTTCGGCACCGACATTTGTATCCTCATCAAGTGTTACATTTGAAATTTTGTTAAACAAACACACTTTACTTTTCAACATAACTTAAAAATTTTAATTATTGAACTATTAACATTAAATTTTAACTCACAAAAATATTATTAAAATTAAATTTTTTTAAAATTATAAAAAAACATGAGTCCTATAAAGAAGAGCGTGTTTTTTATATCTTCCGAAGAAATTAACGTTTCTTAATGTTCATAGGCTCATTTAAATCGTATTTTTTAGAGAATGGAGATTCTTTACCAAAAATTATTTACATACATTTCTTTAGAAAATGCAAGTCACAAAAGGGAAAAAACAAGGCCTTCTTAGTATATATTATTAAAATAACTATGACATTTATTTATAAAATTCCTTTTACACGTGACAAATAATTTATTTAAGAACATGCACAAATTTTTTTCATTTTTACTTCAAAATGGTGGCGATATACTCCATTTTTAAAAATGTCCATTTCCTATGGTAAGATCAATTCCAAACTTTCTAAAACAGATAGAACGAAAAAAAGTGAAATTTTCTTTCCCTCCTTTTTTAGAGTACTTTTTCCCCAAAACATAAAAAACACAGTGCCGTATTTGTTGGGTGATAGTGATTTGTCGAATGTAATCTAGAAATTTCAGAGACCGTCGAACACCGTTAAGGCGGAAGTCTGGATCTTTTGCACGTATTTTCAATGTAACGTTACAAGCCGTATCGTTTTTTTTATCCTTATTAAATTAAATTTTAATAAATTGTATTCACAATTACTATAATTAGAAGAGTATATTTCCTATTATATTTAATTATAACGGTAAAATATACATAAGCGAAATTAAAGAAAAATGAAAGGGTCATACGAGCCATCAAAATTGAACTCCCCTTTTCTTACTTAGAAAGGCATTAAGTAGTTTTGATTCTTAGTAAAATTCTATTCTATTACGCTTCTTCCAAAATACTTTTACAACTATTTTATCACAAATTCACAGAATAAATTATTGCACTAAACAAAACCGAACATATTGCAATAAGTTAGAGTTTTGCAATAGTGTCAACAAATTATAAGGAATTTACATTGCGCGTGCATCATTTTTACAACTTGAGAATCCAAATTCCATATCCTTCTTTGAACCAAAAACTTAATCGAATAAAATAATTGCCAAGTATGAACTAATGGAATAATTTCATAATTTTCCTCTTTAGCTCCATAAATTAAAAGTATCAAAGACTCTTTTAGGTTAATGACCAAAATGTAGTCTGTTGATAAAATGGAAACGTAAGCGTTTCTAAAAGATCTTTGATATCAAAGACTCTGTTGCAAATTCACATATTGCAACCAATATTAGGAACTAAACATTTTTGCACAGTAAGAGGGTGCAATGACATTAAAGTTATTCCAAGTTATAATAATTATTAGCCAATATAAGAATACGTTTCCCAATCCTTTATCCCTCTCCACTAAATTTTGACACACCCAAACCTCAATTTCAGGTATTAAAACTGATGTGTCCCAATGTAAATTGCTTCTTCGCGACAGTTAACTCCTGGAGACAGGTTATCGCGAGGTTGACCGTCTGCGAAACTCGGCCGGTTCAAGGGTTCGCCACGGGCAACCGAATTCGGGCGGACGTTAAAATCAAAAATCGCGAAGTGTTTGGAATAGAAAAGACTGAGAATTAACAGTGAACACAAAAATAAATAATGGAACAATTTAAACCATCTTATAAATAAAATCACGATTGTCGATTACTCTCGTTCATATATTCCACAATTTTGGCAGCCCTTTCGTCACACTTTGAATTGTTTTGAACTTATGACAACGATCATAAGACAAGTCCAAAACAATAGATATTCGAATTAAATAGCCGCGTAAAGATTGAGGAATCGAAACGAGTAGAGATAAAAACAAAATATTTAAAATGAGTGCTTCAAATTGTCCCATTTAAATAAGTTGTTAATAGTGAAAGTTCTGAATAGAAAAGACTGAGAATTAATGGTGAACAACACTTTAACAAATTAAAACAAATAAACAAATAGTTGCCCGTTCTAATAAGAAGGAGGACCAGCTCTAGATGACCTTTTCTCCCTTCCTTTAAGTGCGGTAGGAATTAAGGCCAATACTTCGTAAGTAACAAATAGTATCGTTTCAAAATTTAAGTAAATCCTTTTATTATGAAAATTGAATCATATTTCATCCAACTTGAGTTCATATTTTCGAAATCTGGTTTTGCGAAATTTAAAACTTGTAATAAAACTTGGTTATTTTAAATATATCATATTTGACATAAATTATTGTGATCTTTTATTTAAATAATAATGACAAGCTAGAAATTCTCTTAATAAAATTTATACAGAGGCGAGATGTACCAAGATTAAAGAGAGATAACGACCCCATAAATTATCAAAGAATTAAACTAAATAAAATATTATAAATTCCAATTCTTTCTTTGTTACAACTTCGAAGATAGTGATTCCTGATTATAATTAATACTCATTTTTTCATTAATTTTTGTAACATTCAAGAATTTTTTTTTCATAGTGAAATTTATTTAAACATTTTAAAATTTTTACATATTATTACACATATATTAAGCTAAATAAAAAAAATTTCTTTCTATATTTTTTGTTGTTAATAGCGAAGAAATGGCGACTGTAAAAAAAATCTCGAAATCTGGTTGACATGATATCTCCAGTCAGAACAGACGGAATCAATAAATTCAAACGGATTATTACAATATAGGTTAATGGTTACAGCCTGAACTAAAATAAAAAAATTTCATTGAAAAATAACAGAATGGCAGACTTTACTTTTTTAACCCTTCTTTTAAAACTAAAATTGTTTAAAAAAACCGGTTAAAAAATATTTAAAAATTACGATTTTAGCTCAGGCTGTAACCACTTACCTATATTTTACAAAGAAAAAACTTAGTCTCAAAATGAGTAGCGTACGCTACTCAAAATGAGTTGCAACAAAAATGAGACTCCTTGTCTCATTTTGAGCTTACACAAAAATACTCATAATGAGACCAATCATATTCATTATGAGTATAAAAGATACGTGAAAATTTTCATCAAATAATGAATAACCCAATAAAAACATAAAATATATTAATTAACTGTGCGTAAATGACGTAACAAATATTATGTAATATTCATTTCACATATATTTTGACTACAATTTTTCAATAAAGGCAAGCAAATTTTTAGGTTATAAATGTTTGTTGACATACCAGCAGGCCTGCATACCAGTAGTGCCAATCTGATTTCACACAACTTACTTCAATTAAATGGCGCTAAGTTTGAAAATTTATTTATCCTGTTATGTGTAATTTACTTTAATTAAGTTAATTTTTAATTAATAAATTGATTTTGTAAATAAAAAGACATTAAAATATTTTCAAATTAATCAAAATTAATATTTTTCACAGTAAATATATATGAAATATCACAAAATGACAAAACTGCAAATGTTACCAACCTAACATTTTGAAAATGTTTATCGACAGGTAATACTCATTTTGAGCAACTTGAAGTTAGTAATTTGTTCAAATTGAGTAGTACTCAAAATGAGATGCAACAAAAATGAGACCAAGTTTTTTCTGTGTAATAATCCGTTTGAATTTTTTGATTCCGTCTGTTCTGACTGGAGATATCATGTCAACCAGATTTTCGAGATTTTTTTTACAGTCGCCATTTCTTCGCTATTAACAACAAAAAATATAGAAAGAAATTTTTTTATTTAGCTTAATATATATGTAATAATAATAATATAATATAATATATAATGTAAAAATTTTTAAATGTTTAAATAAATTTCACTATGAAAAAAAAATTCTTGAAAATACGTGCAAAAGACCTAGACTGCCGCCTTAAAGTTTTGGTTGATAAGTTTAGACAATTTTTTAAAGAAATTATCAGATTTGCTTGAAAATCGTTACTCGGGGTTTTTTGGGTTCGTTAATTACAAATATCGCATCAGATTTTTTTAATTAAAAATAGCGGATCCAATATGGCGGCCATTTTTTTTTAATAATGCATTTTACTAATTCTTTTTAGCACCATAATTTTTCAAATGTTTTTGACACAACTTTAATTACATACTTGTACTTTCTAAAAGAATATACCTACAGATATACACCTGGCACAAGTCAAAATTTTGAAAACAAACATATTCACATCGTGTTTTGTTTTAAAATTATTAAAAATGTAATGTTAAACAACCAACACGCTTTCCTTTTTGGGAGGCATGTTTTTTCTAATTTTAAAAAACTTTTATTTTAATGATATTTTGGTGATTGTTCAATAGAATATATCCAGAAAAATTTTCTGAAATTTATTAAATACGAATAATGATCGTTGTAAAAATAATAAGTACTTATTATTTTGACAACTTGTCAACTTTGTATAAATAAAATTTTTAATTAAAAATCATACTTTCACTACATTTTCCAATGTGGGGAAATTCATTACGAACAACATTAGGTGGTATCCTAGTCCAATTGCGTTGGGTACAAGAAGGGGGTATAATAAACAACAACAAACGAAGACATTTTAAGTTAAAGTTTTAATCTCTAATTATTTCAAAAACTGTAAATGCCATTAAGGTATCATTTGACCATACGTTCTTATTATCATTCTTGAAATATTTGCAAAATTTGAAGAATTTCCACCGCACGAAACCAGAGATATTCGCTATCAAAGTTGCGTTTTTTTGCATGTAAAGCGCGAGTTATGGGTGGGGGAGGAGTATATTTTCATAAATATAAACATAAATTGTTTATAGATTTTTTCAAAAACTAATATGTAATACACGAATGTATTTTGAACCAAAATGTACAAAAAAATTTATAGTTTACCGTCTCCTTTTTAATAATTATGAACTAAAGCTTCTATTTTCTTTATATAGAAGATATCAAAACGGGCATTATATGTCTAACACCCTTCTTGCACCCAACGCTTCAATTTGAAATTATAAAATTGTTACTCATATTTTTATAAATTTTATACACTCAAGTTTTATGTTCAAATTTACATTGACTACAGATAAACTATATACTTTGCATGGCTTTTATTATTCTTTATACAAAAAGGATTTGTTTGTATAAGGAGGGAGATTATTTTTTAATTATAATACATTACGTACCATTAAATTTGAAATCAAGTTGTAAGCAGTAGTCATCACAATCATCCAATCCCCGCTTTCGTTTTGTATTTCATTTTTCAAATTTTCAAGTCGCAATGAAATTAAATCACTTTCCATTAAATACTCATTTTGATACAAAGACATCAAAATATTGAACCACGTCAGTTGTTTGCTTAATGATGAAGTGACAAGTTGTCGTAGAGTATCTATCCACCCTGGTATGTTGTAAGATGTCATACTTGATATATCTTTTATAAAACAAAATAATTTTAATACATATATTTTGTGTTCATTTTTACAAATGTTGCCAAATGAGGTATCGTTCACATTGAGTGAAAATACAGTTTCATTAATCCAGTTTAAATAATTAATTCTAGTAAACGGGTCTTTTATATTCTGCTTGTTAATATTATCGTAAAAAAATTTTTTTGTAACAACCAGATTTCTTGACTTGAAACACTTTAGACTTCTTTCAGAAATACTTGTCTTTTTATCTTGATCAACATTTTTGTTTTGAATTTGTTGCAGTAATGTGTTAAAATGCATTAAAAAACTTTCGCTCTCAGAATTAATGTTAAATCCAATCGAATTGCAAGCGAAATCATTGTCGAATGCTTTTAGGGAAGTGTACTTTGTTTTTTCTCTAAACAATTGTTCTCTTAATGCAAATAATTCCGAGAAACTTTCACCTGTTTTTAGTTTTTTGTTAACATATTCTACTAGAGGGCAGTTGGAGCAACTTGGTTTTAGAGGAACTAAAATATCTTCAAAAAATGGATTCTCTTTTCTTACGTTAACAAAATCAAACGTTACACCTAACTGATCGCCTAACAGCATTTTTTGACAGTATATAGTGAAAGAATTATCTAGAATGTTTACTGGATAAACAAAGTAGTATACATTGTGAGCTTCATATAGATAAAAATTTTCCGTTATCATATTATGCATCTTACTCCAATGTTTGTTGGTAATTTCATTATCGTATAATATTCTTTTACTCTGAGATATATTTCTAACTCTGTTTATTCCATCAGTAAATTTACGTGCTATAGTTACTATTAATGGTTTATAATTTTTTCGAAATAGGCATTGATCAAGTACAAGGGAGTAATCGTAAAGAGTACAGATATCATCATCAGACATGGATTGGTTTCTTTCCTTTGTTTCTACCTGTAAAATACCAATTTGGAAAATTATTCTTTTATTTTTAGCACAAAATCCTACAGATAAGAAAATTTCTTTTCCCATGCACTGAGAAATCGATTTATTTGAATTAAACATATTTTGTTTAAACCAGAACTTAGCTTATTTCTTCTACACATTCAAACATAGTTAAGTTTAATTTAAACAAATTTTTTGGTTCCTTTGAAGAATTAATATATTTAATTCAAACATAAACTATGATCAATTTTAAATTATATGCACAATCATGTTTTTAGTTTGAATCAAGCATAAAATTTTTAACCCGTTGACTGTGTATCAGGACGATTACAAGCGACTCTATGAAAAAACATGCCATCACTTTTTTAATCATATCTCGTAAATAAAAGGAGATACAAAAAAACTTAAATACGGTTAGAAAGCTAATTAAATTTTGCGTAAAATAAGCCGTCTTTGAAGTAATTTCGTTAACTATTTTTTGAGTCTTAGAGTGAGAAATAAATAACAAAAATTATCAAATTTTCTCATTTTTGTCTCTTGACTTCAACTTTTTCAAAAATCTAGAAAAATTTAGATAACATTTTTTTAAAAACACACTTCGTTAGAATTTCAGCTTTAAAATAAGCCTTCGAAAATTAAAAAAGGTTAATCCGTCTTCGATATATCATTAAAAATGTGAAGCCGTTTTTAGACGATTGGTGCATTGGAATTTAACTATGACGACTCGATTCTAGCTTCGCGTGGCTGCAAATGGGAGAGAAAACAGGGACGGATTTATGCTGGGGAATAATAAATAATGATGTTTCATGAGTAATATAAACAAACTCGAAAGTTCATCGTTCTCCCGTGTCAATTCGTCTCTCCTTTCTCTCTCATTCGCAGCCGCGCGAAGCCAGAATTGAGTTGTCAGAGTTGAATTTCAATACACTAATCGGTGGAAACACGGCTTTACATTTTTAATGATATATTGAAGACGGATTAACCTTTTTTAATTTTCGAAGGCTTATTTTAAAGCTGAAATTCTAACGAAGATTTTTGTGTTTTTAGAAAATTTTATCTAAAATGTTTCTAGATTTTTGAAAAAGTTGAAGTCAAGAGACAAAAATGAGAAAATTTGATAATTTTTTAATTTCTTTCTTACTCTACAACTCAAAAAATAGTTAACGAAATGACTTCAAAGATGGCTTATTTTACGCAAAATTTAATCAGCATTCTAACTGTATTTAAGATTTTTTTGTATCTCCTTTTATTTACGATATATGATTGAAAAAGTGATGGCATGTTTTTTTATAGAGTCGCGTGTAATCGTCCTGATACTCGTGGACGGTAGTGTATGCGCAAAACTAAGACTGGCCAAAACACTGATCACTATATACCTCTGGATTGGAAATGCTGTGAGCAGAACTTTTACCACGGCGGCCATCTTTCATTGTAGTAAAAGTACAAAATTATGGCGCGAAAGCCTTGTTTCATATTACAGTAAATTTCTTTTTTATTGTAAGTAGATGTATGAATAAACAACTCATGTATAGAATATAAAATGTTAAAATTAATAATTATTATTATCATTATTATTATTACTTCAAATACAAGGCTTTCGCGCCATAATTTTGTACTTTTACTACAATGAAAGATGGCCGCCGTGGTAAAAGTTCTGCTCATAGCATTTCCAATCCAGAGGTATATAGAGATCAGTGGGCCAAAAGTGCTTATGACGCATATGGGCCTATCTACGAAACTTTTAACTTTTATGTGACTCAAATCGAATACTTAAAAGTCCGTATTATATTAGATTAAAACTTATTGTTTAGTTATATTTTCCTAAATTATACTAATGGCCAATTGATCTGCCCTAGGATAAAGTGTCTGTTAGTTAACTGACAGAATAAATTTATCAGGAGGTTAAATTTGGTTAAACTGCTGGTTAGCATTTTTGGGTTGATCCACGTAAATACAAGTGCCAGTTAACTATCTAGCAGATAAATAACGAAAAGTAGGGAATTCTAGTACTTTTTGTATTAGAATTGACACTCTGGCAGCACTGACGCTAAAAAGCTGATGCTTAGATTGCCCGAGTTGATGCACATAATTATATAGATTTGTTTATTTGATAAAATAATTATTTCATTTCATACTATTTTTATTACTTCTTAAATAAATGCATTGAAATCCACATAATTATTATTTTTATATTATTTTGTAAAAATGTTTGGAAAGTCATTTTTAATGAATAATAATAAATTATTCATTATTTCATTCATTATTTGGTTACAATACAATTATTGTATTGTAACCAAATATATACACGGAAAAAATTAATCTCTAAACTTGAAATAATATTAATTTGAAGTCCAATGAAATATAAGTGTATCTAAATTAAACATTATAGTCACAATTACTGTGATAAGTTGTGTTTGATTCTGTCAAACTTTATACCAGAAAACGCCATAAATTCACATCTCTGATTTAGAGATTTGTTAATTTCACAACTTTTTTTATATGAATTAGGTACATTGTGTTTTAAGTTAATCAGTGACAAAAAAGATTTAAACCATTTTAATTAATTAAGTATTAATTTTATTTTCAAATATCCAAATAAAAGCGAAGGTCTGTGAAGGAAGGTCTGTGAAATTTTAAGGTTACAATTGTCGCCCGACAAAATACGGCACTGACTGATTTAAATGACGTGAAATAGGTAAATAAACATTTTTCAACCACTTTTTCTCTAAACACAGACACTTTTTACAAAATAGGCCAACATACAATGGGTAAGAATCTTCTTAAGGGGAGGTTCTCATTGCAGAGGCCAAAATAAACACAAACTTTGACAATTTTTTGCAAAGAACGGCTATGACTTAGCGATTTAGTTTTTTTTCTAAATAAAGATACATTCTTGAACTTTTACAACATATATTTCATTTTCAAAAAAATGCAAAATGGCGGCCAATATGGCGCATCTAGAAAATAATGTTTTTTTAAATAAGGAAAACGGTGGGCATTCTACACTGCGCAATTTTTAGTCTAAAACAGAAACTCAAAATTTTTTATAAAGATGACATCCTAAAGAATAGGTTATACCTATAAAATAGTTAAAAAGTTAACAAAATGACAAAATGGCGGACACATTTTTAAAAAAACTGCGTTTTTGCATTATTTTTCCATATTTGACCTCTTGTAAAAATCTGTATTGTTAACAATTTTATCATATTATAGGTATAACCCCTGTAGAATTTAGTTACCTTTAATAAACCACAAACCCGAAGTTGATTGATTAAATAGTTTAGACGCTACGATGCCCACCAGTTTAAAAAATCTTGTTTCGAGAAAAACGCGTTTAGCTTGAAAAACATTTTTGTGCAATAATTGTATTCTTTGCAATTCTTTGTTCAATTTGCGTATATGATAAATATCTATAGGTATTTAGGGTCTCTCTTTACGATTCTGAGGTCAGATTTGCAAAATTTTTAAAAATTGATGTGATTTGCCTGACATTTGTTACTTAGTGCTCGGGACGTCGGTTAGTTCAAGACTCTATAAAATCGAAAATATTCTTCGGATCAAAAAATCGGTATACACACATATTCTACATATATATAGCTTTCAAAAAATACAATAAAAAAGAAATCAATTTTTTTGACTCCCGCGATGGGAACCTCCCCTTAATAACCTAAATTCAAAAGATTGTTTAAATTCATGCAGAAACGCGGTTGTCAAGCGGTTGTAAAATGTAAAATTGGAAATGATTGGAAAGTAATGTAATGACAGACAACAAGAAGCGGATTACTGCCAGTCGCCAGAAGAGGGCAGAAGCATGCAGAGAGCACAATGGTCCAGCTGTTATATTCTTAGCATTACATCACTTTCCAATTTTACATTTTCAACCGCGTTTCTGCATGAATTTAAACCATCTTTTGAATTTAGGTAATTAAGAAGATTCCTACTCGTTGTATGTTGGCCTATTTTGTAAAAAGTGTTTGTGTTTAGAGAAAAAGTGGTTGAAAAATGTTTATTTACCTATTTCACGTCATTTAAATCAGTCAGTGTCGTATTTTGTCGGGCGATAATTGTAACCTACAAATTTTACAGACCTTCCAACGCCGTTAAAACAAAAAAATGAAATAAAAATATAAAATTCGTATTGTGTTTTAAAAATATCCAACTACTTTTTTATACTTGTCAATATATAGTTCATACAGGGAAAACAATATAAATATTTTGTGAATAATTCTCACTCTAAATTGTGATAAATTATAAATTCTTATTACATCGAGTTATTACAAAAATTAGAATTATATAAATATACGACTAAAATTTTTAATATTGTTTATTCAAATAATATATTAGATTATTTGAATTTATTCAAGTAAGTTGATAGTTTAGAACATATGTTCCATATGTCATAAAATTTGAGATTCCTAATATCATTTTTAGGCATAAGAAATACGTGTTCTTCACAATACTAATATTCGGATTAGATATAATACCAAATTTCAGTTTTAGTGATCTGCTTACATCTTACGTCCGATTCCAGTGATAGTTTATGCCTAAATCTCAGATTTAATCTCTAATTTAGAGATTAATTTTTTTCCGTGTACATTGCAATTGAAATAAATATTTACTTTATTTAATTTTTATTGCTTTTTCCTTCTTCTTAAAAAATTTGTTGTAAATAAATAAATTCATTGAAATGTATGTATTTATTTATATAGTTTTTATTGCTTTTTCTTATATTAATTAATTTCATAATTTTCTTAAAATGTATTGGTCAATTTGTTTCTTGTAAATAAATGAATTGTAATTCAAATAATTTATTGTTTTTATATTATTTTTCATAGTTTTTATTGTTGTTTTCATAATTAATTTCAAAACATGCATAAAATATTTTTAAATAAATGTATTTATTGTAAATAAATTAAAATTCAAATAAGTTAAAATCTTTATATTATCATTCTTTTTGTTGTTTTTTAATAATGAGAAAATGAATAACGATAAATTTAAATGATTTTCTGTTTTCAAATTATTCTTCATAGTTTATGAATTCTTGAGTTCTTTATTTAAAAATTAGTGTTTGTAGGTTTTGTGGCTTTTTGTTAATAATTCATTTCTAACTAAAGATGTTAATAAAAGTCGTGATTTTATTTAAATTTATACATTTTTAAAAGGCACAACTACAATTTTACTTCAAACAGGTCCATGTATAGTGTGATCGAAGCATTGCCTCACAGATATTCAAAAAAAGTATTCCGCTCAAGGATTTGAAAACTATCAATTTTAATAACCCCTTGACTGTGGATGACGTGTATACACGTCATGAAAAAAACTGGCCCAAACAGTGGATGACGTGTATACACGTCATGGCCCAAACAAGAAAACATCTTAACGTATATTCGCAAAAATTCTTACCTGGGGGTTTTTGGGGTCGCTGATCACAATTCTGAAGTCAGATTTTCAAAATAAATAATTTTTTATCCAAAATGGTCGCCAAAAATTTTGAAAAATTTCAAAAGTAGATAAATTCTTTTAAAAATTCTAACTCGGGGGTTTTTGGGATCGCTGATCACGATTCTGAAGTCATATTTTCAAAATACATAATTTTTTATCCAAAATGGCCGCTAAAAATTTTGAAAAATTTCAAAAGTGGATAAATTTTTTTAAAAATTCTTACTCGGGGGTTTTTGGGGTCGCTGATCACGATTCTAAAGTCAGATTTTCAAAATAAATAATTTTTTATCCAAAATGGCCGCCAAAAATTTTGAAAATTTTTAAAGTAGATAAATTCTTTTAAAAATTCTTACTCGGGGGTTTTTGGGGTCGCTGATCACGATTCTGAAGTCATATTTTTAAAATAAATAATTTTTCATACAAAATGTCCGCCAAAAATTTTGAAAAATTTCAAAAGTGGATAAATTCTTTTAAAAATTCTTACTATTTAAACTTTGAAAAACTAATAACAGATGCGTAATCAGTGACCACGAAAACCCCCGAGTAATGAATTTTAAGCGAATCTAATGAATTTTTCAAAATTGTGTCTGCCATTTTGGATCCGCCATTTTGAATTTTTGAAAACTGACACCGGAATCGTAATCAGCGAACACGAAAACCCCCCGAGTAACGAATTTTAAGCGAATCCAATTAATTTTTCAAAATCGTGTTCGCCATTTTGAATTCCTGCCCATTTTTGCCTGTTTCTGACGGGTTATCTAGTTTTCTTTTCTATAAATTGGTATCAAACTTGGAGGGTCAATTGATAATTCCACTAACTACCGGGAAAAGTTTCACATAAACAAAAATAAGCCTACAAGTCAATTTATAAAGCGGGGGACAGCAATATTCCCTTTTAAATGAAGGGAATATTCTACATGTCATGGAATACATGTCATGGTCAGTATAAGTAAACGACTGGATGTATCTTTCAAAAATTTGGTACTAAGGGGTATTCTGGGTCGCTGAACACGAATAATTGGGGTAACCCTGGTTAAAAAACCGGACAGATTTCGGACTAATCCGAAATTTGTCCGAAACAATGCGGTTTATGGTCAGGTTTTTGTCACCCGAAATTAATCCGGAAAAATCCAAACTCTATACGGTTTGTGAACAACTAGTGAATCCGGAGTTGGTCCGATAAAGTTGTATACAACTAGTGAATCCGGAATTAGTCCAAAACAGTCAAAAATTAGTCCGGACAATTTAGTAAATGTTAAAAAAAATAATTATACAAGTTACATATATTAATTATTATTACTTTATGGTACATTCAACATATTTTTCGATTTACCTATCGCAATTTTATTTACATTAACTTAAAATTTCTAACGCTTGGGAATTCGAACCTGCACCTATCTAACATTATAGCGCACCGAAATCAAATACACTAACCACTATACCACGTTCGCATGGGAGTTCAAATTCATAATAGAATTTATCAAGTTCCACGAAAAGAAATGACAAAAAACTAACACATCAGTGTTAATTATAATATTGAAAAAGATAACTAATAATACTAGTGTAAAATCAAATTGACTGCAAAAGTAAATATTTTACTTACCATAAGTAAATACCCTGAATAAAAAGTCGGACCGATTTCGGACTAATCCGGAATTTGTCCGCAACAGTACGGTTTATTGTGAAGTTTTTCACCCTGAATTAAGTTTAAAATCAATACCGTTTTTTATCACTATTGAATCCGTAATAAGCCCGGTTTAGTCTGTAGTTAGTCAGATCATATGCGACTAGTAAATGCAGAAGTAATCCGGTTGGTTTAACCAGTGAATCAGCAGCTAATCCGAAACAGTCTGCTTATGGACAGGTTTTTGTCGCTCGGAATTTGACCGGATAAATTCAAACTCAATGCGGTTTGTGTATAACTAGTGAATCCGGAATTAGTCCGATCTAGTCCGAAGTTAGTCTGATAATACGCAACTTGCAAATGTGAAATTATTAAATCCGGAATTAATCTGGTTTTGGTCAGGTTTTTGTCATACGAAATTATAATTAGTTTGAATTTATCTGCATTCAATACAAATTTATTTTAATATACAAATTCAATATTATACCAAAATCATTCTGGATTAAGTCTGAATTTGTTTGAATATGGATTGTTTTGAACTTGTCTGTGGATTGTATATATTTACAAATTCTTAAAATAATAAGACTTATTTTCGGACTGGGGTGTTGTGATCGGAAATTATTCGGATTGACGCTGACTATTACCGGATTCTTTGCATACAGATTTTGGATTGTTCCATACTTGTTTCGGATTAAATCTTTCAACTGGATTAAATTCGGATTATTGCGGACTGATTTCGTATTCTTTACATATTGATTTCGGATTATTTCGTATTTATTTTACATGAGTTTTTTTGACGGACATAATTTCGGATTGTTGCATAATAATTACGGACTTAATTCAGACATTTAAGATTATTCCAGACTGATTTAGGATTCACAATTTCACTCGGATTGATGTTAGATTAACGCGGATAATTTTCGTACAATTATCGGACTAATCCACACTAATGTGCCCGGATTTAATTCGGATTAGTCCGAAATTTTTACCAGGGATATAATATTATTCGGGTGACCGTCTATTACTGGATTCTTAACATACATATTTCTGATTGTTTCATATTTGTTTCGGAATATGATTTTTACCACACTAATTCCGAATTGAAGCGGACTAATGTCAGATTCTTTGTGTACAGATTTCGGATTATTTCGTATTTGTTTTGGATTATACCTTTTAGTTGGATTAAATCCGGATTGTTGCAGACAATTTTCGGATTCTTAGCATACAGATTTCGGATTGTTTCGTACTTTTTTCGGAATAGGATTTTGCCACAATTAATTTCAAATTGTTGCGGACTAATACCGGATTTCTAGCTTACAGAATTCGGATTGCTCCGGAAATTTTGCGGATTAAGTTTTTCTAACTAGATTAAACTCGGATTGTTGCGGACTGATTCCGTATTCTTAACATATTGGTTTCGGATAATTACGTACTTATTTTAGAAGAATTCTTCACCGGTCATAAGTTCGTATTGTTGCGGACTAATTACGCACTGAATTCGTAGACATTCAGGATTACTCCGGAGTGTTTTCGGATTCAGGTTTTCGTTCGGATTGATATCAGACTAGCGCGGATCATTTTCGGACCTTTTTCGTTCAATTTTCGGACTAATCCGTACTAATCTGTCCGTATTTAATCCGGAATTAGTCCGAAATTTTTACCAGGGAAGATAACCCTACGGATCATCATGCCCATACCATGGGGGATCATCTTGGACACCCCGGTGTCCAAGATAATCCTTTTGTAAGGTTTTAGAAAAATTAAATTTAATAGTAAAATATTAATTAGCTGCAAATATTTCAAAACATAATAGTTAGATAGATTAATTATCTAGTAGTGCGTACAAAAAAACTCGAATATGTTGATTTTTCTTTGAATAATAGGTTTTTTCCCTTAGGGAGATCATCTCGTACATCTTTCCCCTACTTTTGTTTCAATACATAAACTTAAAAATGCATATGTACCGAAAGTTAAATGTGATTTTTTGATTAAAAAATTAAGCAAAATAAGAATATGTTACATAAGCTAAAAATTAATAATTTTACATTTTACTCACATAAATGTGATAATTTAAAAGTTCCACCTCCTGGGAAATTAATTTTAAATTTACTAAGTTACTTTTAATGTATTATACAATAAAATGTAAAAAGTTAACAGTTTCAAGCGAATCCATTAAGTTTACAAATTCGTCATTCGCCATATTGGATCCGCTATTTTGAATTTAGAAAATCCGACTTTAAATTCGTAATCAGCGATCTCAAAAACCCCCGAGTAACGAGTTTCAATCAAATTCAATTAGTTTTTAAATTTGTCCGTTCAGTCTGTCCGTTTATATTTCAGTTCCGGAAGGGGTTAATAATAAGTGTTAAACATTGGCGGCGTGAGTTAAAAATAAATCACGCACACGAATTTTTAGTACTAAAACATTCTTGAACACGTATGCAAAGTGACATCTATGTGCATACAAATTAATAAAAAAAAATTTTTTCTTAAAAGTCAAAAGTTTTATGGATTTGCCCATATAATATAAAAAAAATAATTTTTGACTCCACTGTAGAGTTAAGTCTCAAACCAAGGTGAGCCATTTTGAACCTTTTTCGGACTACAAATTTTAAAACCTTTTTAATAAATTAATTAATAGAAAAATAATCAAAAATATGATACAAATTATAATGTCTTAGTTGTCAGGTTCAAGGAGTGATTTTTTAGAGTCAAATTTTTTTTATATTATTTGAAATATTCATTAAAATACAAAATACCGTGATAATACCCACTTTTACCCTAGACAATTCAAGTGAAATTTTTTCTACGATTTTACTAATTTATTCTAGAAAAGAACCTAATAAAATAATTTTATATATTATTCTTAAAAATTTAGTAATAGTTTTGAAGTTTAACTTACATCGCTTCCTCTCAAGATTGAAATTTGCCCAAGTAGAACTGGCAAAATCAAGTTGAATGCCACCAAAAGTTTACTGCGGTAGATCATGTTTGGTTGTTGTGTAAATATTTGCTTCGACTCACGTACTGATATACTTTTGAAAAAAAATTCTCTGCTAAAATGAAAAATAATAACAGATAAACAATATTTTAACAACTTTCCTTTTATAACTTTATTTTTTAATAGTTCAGAAATCAAAATTTCGTGCACGAGAAATATAAATATTAAACCACTGCCAAGGTTAACTAAGTGATTAAAATGAATATTATTTTTTGTTTCAGGTGAGTTAAATTATTTTATGCCTCAGCCTATTACGTAAGTAAACATTCTTTTCGATAATTTATTTAGTAGAAACCAAAAACGACGTTTCAATTTTAATTATTTAATTTTTTCTTCCTATTTTTTTGAACATTCACTATTCGATCTATCGAAATGAAGACAAATTTTAGGTATTTGTATACCTAAAAATATTCTCGATCGTAAACTGACATAGCTGACAGTTATTAAAACCTGATATCACACGAAACGACTTTTTCGGCAACTATAAAAAAACGAAATATCACCACCGGAAAATCTATAGATTTTCCGGTGGCGATATTTCGTTTTTTTGTACCTTGCCATCAGTTGTTGTCTCTAATATACAAAGGACACAGGACGTGAAAGTTGATTTTTCCAAAAAATCGTTTGATTGCTGTTGAATTTAACAAGAGTGTTATTCAATTCAAAAATTTTTGAAAGGCTGAATTAAAATAATCAACGTTTATTGTTGATTTGTAAAAGAATCTGTAATCATTTAAATTAATTTGAAATCTTCTTTTAAAACTAAATTATATCATGATAAACCCAAATATATTATTTTTATTTTTGAGAAAAATCCCTGCAACAAATTATAAAAATGCTTTGCGAATACTTTCCACAATTATGAAAAATTTAGAGTCACGCACATAAATATAACAACCTAATCACACCAAACTTAACGAGGACAGTTACGGAAGCATAAAATTACCGCTGCAAAATAAACTGACCCTTCTCTTGTCAAGCTGCTTTCTTTTTCCACTAGTTCTTTAGTGGTTTAAAAAAAATTTCATGGCAAAAGCGCTTCTCATGACCTACTTTACAGTCCACTATAAAAACCAAAAGTAAAAATTCTATAACGTAGCTTGCAATTATTTTTTTAAATTTTACGGAAAATTACATTTCTTTAAAAAAATTATTTTACCCGTCGCGTCGCTTTTCTTGTCATATATATGTTCTCGATAGCAGGGAATTTAATTGCATTTGCGTTCGAAACGCGTTTACATTAACGAGCAATAGTATCGAGAATTTGACTGGGGATTGAGCCTTTAATCGAATACTGTTATGGTGAATATTTCAGCAAATGAGAATTAAGGACTATTCAGTGTTGTCATTGCGAAATGAAAAATATTCCAATTATTTCGAATTGTTCTTTAAGTTTCTCGTTGCCTTTTTCAACTCTTTTCTGCTCTTGATAATTTTGAAATCTAACCGAAGCTTTTTTAAATTTATTATTTTCTTATCGGGAATTTAAGAATAGCATCTCTTAAATATACATAAAGTAAGATATGCTTGTATTAAATATTTAGTCTAAATTTAATTAAAGAAAAGAAATTAAAATTCTGTCAACAGAAATTTTATTTGATATATAAAGAAATTAGGAATCTTTTTCAAATGTTTATATTTAGTCAAGTTATAAAGCATGTTTACATTCTACCTTATATGTTTGAATTCTTATTTTACCTTCATGAGCCTCCGCGGCATAGTTGAGCTTTTGATTTATAAACCGCTTCTAACAGAGGCTTGCGTTCGAGACCTCATGATGCTGGGTATCCAAGGAAATAAATTTTCTTTAATAGGCAAGTAAAATGTAAATCCAACATGAATCATTTTTTCACATTATTTTTTAAATATTCTTTTGAATAATTGACATTAATGTGAAATAGTTTTAGTTGTATTTTAGTTAAACATGGGACCCTGACATTCTGTATAACACTAGAACCAAAAACGGTCACTCCTAATCATTTGAGACAAAACAAAATCTTAATTTAAGAACACAACAATTATGCAAGATTACTTTACTAATTGTGTTCGTAATATGTAAATTACAAAGTAAAAACTCTACCAATTTTTTTCATCAGTTTATTATAACTTTTATTATCTTTTTACTTATATTGTATTATAACATCAAAGATGTTTTTGTTGGGATTAAATTATTCTGTGATAAATGATTTATTACTATTATATTTTGTGACGAAGTGGTTTCGTCATGATATGTTCATTATTTACTTTCTTTTTATTATTATAATTTCAATTAATAATTATTTGATTTTGGGTTTAGCGCGTTAGTCCTTTTGACTTTAAGGCGTAGGGAGAAATGTAAATTCCCCAATTCCCCTTTATGACAAGTGTGTACTGGGGTTTCGCGAAAAATGTAGCAGACGACGAAAGCACATGGAGAAAATATATTAATTATTATGATCTCGTAGAGTAGACATGAGTTGTAGGAGAGTGGAAGATTTTATTTAAAAGAGAGTTTATATAGTTTGAATAAAAGTGTTATTTTTGAGAGTGTATTTCTGTTGTGTTTCTTTAAAGAAGATTGACTTGTCTAAATTCCTGACTATAGCAGAAGGATAAATTGACAAGAAAATAGTAAGTAAAATTATTGGTTAAAAGTCGTGTTTCAAAAAGGTTATACTTCCCTTCTTAACTTTTCTCAGCGGAATCTCCTTTGACATTATTTTGACTTAAAGAGAAGTGTAGGTTTACTTTTTTATCATTATTAAATTATTGTTTTTGTTAGTTTTCCAACAATTAAACTAACTGGCGTCTGACTAAAAAGTAGTATTTTACATAACTTTTAAAAACTCACCTATATCCTCATTATCCTTATTTTAATCACAAAACTTTTTTCACTTCTGATCACTTATGATATTTTATATATATTTCTTTATTGTTTTGTCACTTTTCACTTTTTATCATCCAATATATTAAGAATATTATTAAGAATGATGAAGAATATTTAAGAAAAAAAACACGTGTTCTTCACTTTGTAATCTGTAATATTCATCATGAATCATGTATAATACTTGCACTCGACCACGTGGAATAAATTAGAACCTGAAAACTGTGCGCGCACAAAAATTTGAAATTATTTCAGCCAATAGCGACCGTCATCATGTCATTTTCACAACCAATCACGACCGCAACTCTCAAACTCTAACCAAAAAAAAGCTGTTTTTCTGTTAAGGAAAATTTTAATTTGCTTCAAAACTTTAAATTTAATACTGCGTCGTATGTTAAAGTTATGATTTTGTAAATCATGCACGAATTACATATATTTAGGGTATTTGCGAACATCCCTCAAATCATTCGTAAAAAGGTTAAATAACAAAGGAGCAAGCACTGATCCCTGAGGATATCATTTAAAAAAATTTTAAATATTATATAGTGATTCACTAAATGGTGACGCACTGCCTCTTCTCAACAGTTACCTATGGGCCAATAATAGATAAAAAATAATAGACTACCAGCTTTCGATTCTCAGGTACTTGAACTCAGAAAAAGACAAAATTGAATCAAAAATACAATTTTTTTGCTTCTTCTCTCCAACCAAGAAATCCGGACTTTAACTTATCTGCTTTCCTTTTACACAATGAAAAGTGACGTTTTTCACTTTCTTTGGATGGATAGAGAAAAGGAGATTTTTTTTCTTTCTCAGTGTAAAAAGAAGTAAGAAGCTTCGTGGCGCGAATCCTGGAACAATAGGTACCTCCTTAATGAGGGTTCAGCACTACAAATAATAGACCACCGGCTGTGATAAGGGAACCCTTACAACAATTGTCTTTTTAATGAGGGTCAACTATGGAGTTTCTGGTACCTTCAGAATTGATACAATAAACAAGAGAATTGTACTGATATTTATATCTAATATGTTCCACTTTGTACTAATGTGTAAAATCTATCATACCTCTATGTCATAACATTCATTACATATGATAGTTTTAAAAAACATAATTATAAAATTATAAATAAAGATACATTTTTTGGATAATGATATTATTGATTAATGTATACTTGGAAGTTTTTAGAATCTCGATGACTAATAATAATTTCATTATAGGTTTCATATTGTAACAGGAAATTATTGTTGGACTGAATGTTACAAAATTTATCCTTGTCGACTATTAATTAGAAGATAGAATATAGATAGAAATGTTGTCCTTAACGGAAACATTAGAATTGTAATTTAAATATCTATACCAGAAAAGGTATCTTTAAGATACCAATTCGTTATAATAGAGTTGTTTTTCCTAATAAGAAGGGTGTCCAAAAAACTAATGCTGCCCTCATAATGGTAATAAATTATAAGTTATAATTAATCTTTAATTGTTGAACATAACACAAATATTGTTTCACAATTTAAAATTACTTTATTTCTTCCATAACTCAGTTTGAGATACTCAACAATTCTTTAAAATAAGTACGCTATATTTTTTTCATTTTTTTGTCAGGACATTTTTGGCATACAAACGATTTTCTCATTAAACTGCGAAAAAGTCAACTATCCTAGACACTATAACTGGAAAAACCCGTAGATATCGAGGATGAGGGAAAAGCTTAATTTAAATTAAACTCTACTTTTATTGAATTCGCTCTTTAACAAAGATTCGAAAATTAAAATTAATTAAATTTACAATCATTTGTGCATTGTTTGATTTAATTTTACAATTTAAAATTCTATGTTGATCATACAACTGTAGAATAATCATTATGCCCGTCAAAAAAGAAACAAATTATAAAATAGCTTCTCAGAATTAAACATTTTAATAATCTTGTTCATTATTAACTTCAGCTCGAGTTTTTAAAACAGAATAAAAATAAACTTTTTTATTACAAAACCAAAAATGTACCTGCAAATTTGCACAATACTATTAAGTTAACCGAGAAGATAGGTTATTTCTACAATTCTTGCACCTTGTAGACATCACATATTCTTTCTTTCAATGTTAATTTTTCTGAATGATACTATTGGAATTTGAAATTTTTTAATATTTACATATCGTATACCATGGAATCACTAT